TCACACTGTGCTTCTCTGCCTGGGCTCAACAGCTGTGGGAGCACCCAGTGCCCCGCGTGGCACTGCGGAGCTCAGTGCTGGCTGCAAAGCACAAAGGGGATACAGCCCTGCAGATCAGCCCCAAGCAGGCTGATGGAACCAGGGTAACTTCCCTGCCACTGCGCTACCTTCATCCTGGGTAAGCTCCGATGGCAATGCCCTGCAGTGTAACACTGAAAGGAATGTGGTAAGGAGGAGAATGCAGTGAACAGGAAGTGTGCACAGAGGTGTGGGCTAAAGACTGTAGGCTGATTAAATCTGCTCTATGATCCTGTTCTCCAAGTGGCCTTGTATGTGGGGCTGTGTCACCAGCAGATGGGACAGAGAAGGTCCCTGTTGTTCCCTGAGCGCCCTTCCCTACCCAGAAGCCATCATCTGGGTGGGGGAAGCACATCACAAAGTCCCTGTGCCCAAACGCTGCATCTCTTTGCCTCCATCTCCATGTTCCCAGCATTCCGGGCCTCACCTTTCCAGCTCCAAGAGGCAGCTGCTCCCAGAGAACTAGCATCTGCGTGTCCACCAGGTGCCAGGACCAGATGTGCCCAGAACTGTGGGTGCCACCTGGTCTCCAGCCAGTGTCACAAGTGCCAGGAGCAATCAATGCAATGGCAAAGGCAATTAATGCTCTTGATTGAGCCACTGCAGGGGATTTGTCCTGGAGATGTGAGCGGGGGCAGCTCCAGGGGCTTCAGCCACAAAGGAAAGGGGAAGGGGCTGGATAAGCCTTAAATACATCAGCAGAGGAAGTGGAAATCCAACCACAGCCACAGCAGAGCCAAACAACCGCTCCTCCTCTGCTCCCCTCTCACAACCTCGCTCCCCTGAACACACGCTACGCTCAGCAGCAGCAGAAAGGCAGAACTGAGCTATTTTTTAAAGCTGACGTCTTCCTATTCCTCCCGAGCAGCCCCAGGGGCAATCAGCGCATAGCAAAGCCAATTAATATCCTTCTACCTGAGCAAGGAGCCTGAGCCACTGATCAGCTCAAGATGCCTCAATGGCATCTCCCTGTGAGACGGGAGCGAAGGGACAGCGAGTGGGAGAGGTGAGCCACGCATTGCCTACAGCCCTCTGGATGGGGCCATCAGCCCTCAGCCTCCTTCTTGCTGTCTGTGAGTGGCAGCAGACTGCCTGGCCTGCCGTCGTGCCCCCGCTGGAGCAATGTGTGACCACAGCACGAGCAGAGGCAGTGGGAATCGGCACCGAGCTCCTCAGAACTCCAGCAATTTATTCTCACCGCAGATCCCGGCCAGCCAGCAAAAGGGCACCGCACAGAAGAACAAAAGCCTGAGAACATGGCACGCTGGAGGGGAGGCAGCACCTCCCCGGCGGGGCTCCCTGAGCAAGCCGTGCCCAGCGGCCATTTTGCAGAGGGAACGATCTGACCGTTGCACCAAAAGTGAGTGGGAACGTGGTAATGGCTCCTCGCCTGCGTTTGTTTACAGCCGCGCTTCCTCTGAGTCATGTGAGCTCCAACCGGCAGGAGAGGCTGCGAGCGCTTGTGCAACTCGCCCGGCGGTGGCAAAGTTCTGCAAAGAGTCGGCTTTAAGAAAAGCCACTTTTGTCACCCGTCCCTAAGGCTGCGCAGGGCGGGGGGAGCCGATCCTACGGGCAACGGGGGGACACCGTTACGCTGTGTTGGTAAACAAAGCCCGGGGCTGCGTTACGGAGCAGGGACGGGGCAGCGTTCGCTCGGCCCCTTACGCCCCGCATGGCTGCGCCACGGCTGCGCACGGCCGGCCTTTGGACGCCGACACCGGGGAGTCCCGTACGTGCCGGCGATGGGCTGCTGCCCACGTCTGGGCACGGCTGAGCCGCCCGCTCCGCATCCCGCCTCAGACCTGCAGCACGAAACAGACGCTTCAATTGGAGAGGTGCCACGAGCGTCAAATCCATCAGCTCCAGCCCAGCGAGCGGCCGGGGCTGCACGGGAAAAGACAAAACCCCGTTCAGAAGCAGCGCGCCGTGCCATCGCCGCCGCGCTCCCGGGGCTCTCACCGTGCGGGAGCGAAGCACCGCAGCGCCCACCCGAGAGCGCGCCGCGCTGACAGCGCTGCCCGCGTCCCCGATCCCGCAGCGGGGAGGGCCGGGAGCGGCACACGGTTCCGCGCTCATCCGGGGCCGCCTTCCGCCCCGGGGCTCCGCGCGTGGAGGCCCGCGAACGCGCGCTACCGCGGTCCCACGCGCGGGGGCCGGGCGCGATCCACGCCCCGCCGGCAGCGCCGGTCCCACCCGCGTCCGCGGCGCCGCGCTCCAACCCCGCGCTCCAACCCCGCGCCCACGCGCCGCCCCGACGCGCGCGGGGCTGGGGGAACCCGCGGCCTCGCCGAGCTCCCGGGGCGGCCTCACCTCGAACTGCCAGTGTGCCGCCTGCAGCAGCTGCTTGGCCTGGTCGGCGGCGCAGCCGGCCGCCAGCACGAACTGGTTGATCATCACTTGGTGCTTGAGCTCGTCCATGGCCCCGGCCCGCCGCCCGCCGCCCCCCTTCCCTCCCCCCCCCGCCCTCACGGCGCCGCCACCATCGCGGAGCCGGCGCGGCTCACGCCAATGTTTACTGGGCACTGACTCACGGCGCCCGGCCAGCCCCGCCGGCGGCCGCGCGGGGCGGGGCGGGCGGGGCGGCCGCGCGGGGGGTGCTGGGAAATGGAGTCCCCGCCCGGCGCTCGGCCGCGGCGCCCCTCCGCCTCGGGGACTCCATCTCCCGGCATGCCCCGCTTTGTTTGCAGAGCGGCGGCGGGCGTCGACGCGAGCTTGAGTGACGCGTCCGGGCAGCCAACCGCCGCCCGCGGTGTGGTAGTACCTGACCATATATGGTCAACAACGCCGCCGCTTCCAATGAACGGACGGCGGGGGCGGGCCCGGCTGGGGCGGGGCGGGTCACGTGGGCGAGCGAGCGGGGTGGGGGGGGGCGCGGCGCGGGGCGTGCGGTGTTTACAGTCGGCCGCGTGCGGTTTCCTGTTGACGTGCGGGGAGCGGCCGCGGACGACCGGGAACGGCCCGTGTGCCTCGGGACCCGTGAAGGCAGCGCAGGGCCTGCTGGGCTCCCGCCTCCTGGGTCAGAGCCGAGGCCTGGCACGGCGCTGGTGGCGGCGCGGGGCTCCCCGGGTATCCGCGACCTGTTGTGTCGCTCCCATCCCTGGGGTGCGAACCCCGCTGCCCTCCTCACCCCCCGCCCTGTGTCCGGAGAACGTTCTGGAAGCCCTATCCGCCGTGAAAGGGTGCTTTGAGCGGCGTATGGCCGTGGTGGGAGACGCAGGCGGCGCTGCCCGAGGACAATGGTGCTGCTGAGTACCAGGAGCGATCAGTGTGCGCGTGGGGAAGAGCGGCCGATGGAGTGAGATGGGGAGCGCTGCTGCTCCTTGGGGCTGAGGAGGGCTGAGGGCCTCCGGGGAGCCGCTCCAGGCTGCAGCTCACGTTGCCGTGTTGGGCTTTGCCTCGCTGGGTTGTTCCACAGCCAGGCCTGTGCTCTGTGCCAGGTGTCTCTGAGCTGCAGTTGTGGCTCAGGTGTTGGACCAGAGCAGGTTGGAACCTGCAGGCCTCAGGTACAAATTGCTTCAGCGTTGCCCGAAGCTGTGTGTCTGGAGCCAGCTGTCCCTGTGTGTCCTCCTACAGCCACTGCCCCAACTTCAGCAAGGAGCCATCTGTGCGGAGGGGAGCACGTCAGGGAGTGATGCAGAGAGAAAAGAAGCAGGAGGGCTCTGCAGCCAGCAGGGCAATCCTCCTGCAGGATTACATTAGCTAGGGAACACCGTGCACTTGTGGAGATCTTGCAGCTTGGTTTGTGTAGGGGGAAGGGCTGGCCCGGGTCCAGCAGGGTGTCTGGGGAGGGCTGTGAGCTCTGTGCAGTGTTACGGAGGCAAAGTTCACAGGCATGCCACTCCTTCTGGCCAGGAATAGCTGTCAGCGCTGTCTCCAGGGCTCTGTTTTACAAGCAACTGAAAAACAGAGTAGCAGGGAGGGGGCAGAAGGCAAAACATTTTGCTCTCTTAGGCCACAGGCAGCTGGTTGGACTTTGGCTGAGCAATAAGCAGCGGGCTGCAAGCAAACACGCCTTAGTTACAGGGCTGCTTGTGGCTCCAGGATGCACCGTGAAGGGCAGCGGTGACGCTGTGGGAGGCTGGGTGCTTCCTTGCAGGGCCATCGCATTCCCACATTGATGTTGCAGCGCCCGAGGTCCAACCTCAACACCCTTCTGATGGATGAGGAGATGGTGCGCTGGGTGCTGGTGCTCTGGGACCTGGTGCCACGGCTCTTGGTGGCAGCGAGCTGAGGACAGAGCTCCGAGCGGAAGGATCTCCCCTGCACGCTGCTCTTCCTTGGCCACCGTGTTGAATAGCACCGCTTCACCTTTACATCTCGCCTACAATCGCGCATGCGCGGCGAGCGGCGCCCCCTGCCGGCGCAGTGCCGTGTGCTGGAAGGGGGGGGAAGCTCCGCCGCGGGGCCTGACGGGAGTTGTAGTCGCGGGCTCGGAGGACTCGCTATCCCAGCGTGCCCCGCGCCGCCGCCGCCGTGAGTGCGGGTGCGGGCCGCTCGGCGCCGCGTTACCGTGCCGCCCCCGGGCCGCCGCCGCCGCCGCCGCCATGGGCTCCCTGCTCAGCCGGCGCATCGCGGGCGTGGAGGACATCGACATCCAGGCCAACTCGGCCTACCGCTACCCGCCCAAGTCCGGTGAGGGTCGCGGCTGCGAGGGGGAGCGGGGCTTCTCTCGGGGCCCGGCGCTGCTCGCCGTCCCGCCTGGGCCTCCGCCGGGAGCAGCGCGCGGTGCGCGGCCCCGCTCCGGGTGTGGGGCGAGAGGGCGGCCGCTCTCCCCGCTCTGGAGCCGCCGGCGGCCGCGGGGCATCAGGGGCGACTCGCAGCGGGGGTCGGAGGCGGTCTCGGGAGAGCGGTGCGGGGCCGCCGCCTCCTCCTCACGGCGGTCAGCGGGCTGCCACGGCCCGTGTTCGTGTGCAAGGGGCAGTTCGGAGTGCAGGGCTCCGTGCCGGGCTCGGCCCGACGCTCACCGACGGGCTGGCTGCTGCGGCCGGCCCGGCTCAGCTTGTGTGGAGTGGTCTATTGCTTCCTTTCGCAAAAGCGGCCGTCGGGGCGTTCTGATGTCTCCTTCCCCTGCGGTGCCCGCGTGCTGTTCCCGTGGCTCAGGACGGGTGCTGTGCCCAGCCGGCTGTCAGGGCTGTGATGGAGCCGGGGTTCCCCTTGGGTTTGTTGTGGTGGCAGATCTGAAGCAGAGGCCTGCCGTCGTCGCACCCTGCCTTGTTGCAGGTTTGCCTTCGGTAAGGATGGGGGTTTTCCACGAGCCCTTTCCTGGCGCGGCTGCTGGGAGCTGCCAGGTTTGCACGGCACTCACCCTAACAGCACTGCTGGCACCTGCCTAATGCTGACACACGGACAGGATTTTAGATTCCAACTGGATTAATTATTACTGCTGCACACAGTGAACCTTCAACTGCTTCTTGAAATTCATCACCATTCAGTTTTCTTACTGTTGTAATTAGTTGGATCAGCATTTAAGCTGTGTTGGGTTTTAGCCAATGTACCCAATGTACTCATAGACAGAAGTCAGGACAGCAGTGCTGTGTTCCTGAGGTCTGCTCCACACTCACCTCCCCAGGAACAGTGATGTCCCTGATGCTGTCACAGAGCCTACCATGTACAGCCCCTAGTAAACCAAACAGTTGATGCTTTCCAGCAGTTGATTAAAAAATATCTTTATTTCCTTAACAGCTTTGGATGCAATTAGGTGCTTGTTAATTGTGGCTGAACTTTCTGTTGTGCTTGCTTGTGCTCTTCTGGAAAGCACGCTGGCTGTGACCCTTCTCCTCACCTTCTTGAGGTTTATCCAGCAAGGCTGTGTTGGCTTCAGGGAGGTGAGCTGTTGGAACTCACATTGCTTTGTGCAGAACAGATCTGAGCACTTCGAAGAGTCAGAGGGTTACTGAGAGGGGAGTGGAAGGAGTACTGCCATTGCCACAGCCTGCCTCATTTTAAGGTGATGTGTTCAGATGGATGCTGTCCCATGGTCCTGCGGTCCTTGGGCTGGCTGACTTGGGGCTGGCAGGGCTGCTGTCCCTAGCATGAAACCCCACAGCCTGAAGCGGGGGTATATGATCAGATGTGATTCCATTGAGCTCACTGGAAATGGTTCATAAAGTTCTTAGGTTAAATGATTGCTAATTATTCCCAGCTTGACAATATCGCAGCAAGCTCTGTGCTGCTTTAAAGGAAAGATTTCCCATCTGATGTGTTGTGTGTTTGAATGTGTGCCCTGCAGTGCCAGCCCATCACCCCCGTAGGCTCCTGGCTGCCTACGGGCTGACTGAAATGCAGAAGTGTGGGCAAGGAGTGCTCCCTGAGCTGACTCTACTGCTGGGGCCCTGTGTGGCATTGGGGGTTCTCTGCTGCTTTCCCATCCCTCTGGGTTCATGCAGGTCCTGACTCATGGCAGGTGTCTGGGCAAGCTGCTGTGGTTCTGACCGGCTGCTGGCTGGGATTGCTTTGGTGAATGCAGGTTTGCATTCTGGAGCAAGTATGCCACCTGCTATGAAAGCTGTGTTATGCAAGGAGAAAGCCACAAAGTGTGGGCATCCCAGTGGTGATGGAAGCAGCATGTCAGCCTCGCTGTGGAAGGGAGCGGAGCTACTTTACCAGGCAGTACTGAGCATTGGCATCTTGTTGAGTCAGGGCTGAGTACAAATGCTGTGATGAATATTCACTTTTCCTCTATGGGGTGTGCTCAGTGCTGGGTCAGCCGTGCTCTGTGGAAGATGGAGCTGGCTGTTAGGGAATCCGTCTTGGACCCAATGAACCAAAGTCACTAACAAGGGGCTGGCAGATCATACAGCAGCCTCCTGCAGCCAGCGTGCAGCAGGGTAATTAAGAGTCCTCCTCTGAAAGTTTCTTGTGTGGTCCTCTGAGGTTCTGGGTATGGGTTGTCTGCATTTCCCTTCCTGCATCCAGGCAAGTGCTGTACTGTGACTCTAATTTCCATACATTGCTTTTCACTGGTGCCTTTTAACCTCCCTTGCTTTGTGGAGCCTGCAAGCATTGCTTGTGTCTGCCCGGTTGGAAGGGAGTTGGAGGAGCACCCAGCCTGTAGAGAGGAATCAGTGCCTGCATGCAATGGGCTAAAAGCAGGTAATCACAGCTCCTGATCCTCGCTGTGCTTCTGTGCTTGGAACAGTAAAACGATCCGTGTCATTGCACGCAGCCTCGCTGTGTGATGCCCCTATCACTTTAGCAACCAGTGAGCAATGCACCAGTGCTTCTGCAGCTCATTTGTCAGCTCACTGCTTGTTCCACAGAGCTCATCTGCAGTGTGCAGAGGGCAGGCTGCACCTGCCCTTGGGATGGCTTTCCTCCCCTGGAGTAGGTGCTTGCAAGAAAATTGCAGACCTTGGCTTTTTTGGGAGCAAAAAGGAGAGAGATGATGCCTCTGTGAAACCTGCTTTGTTGTTTGGATCCAGTCTGTCACCTTGCTCTTGGCTCATGAGCCGTGTGTGTTGTGACAGTGCTGGGACACAAGTACTGCAGGTGCAGTCCCTGTTATTGTGCTGTACTCCTGGAGGCCTTCAGCCCCACCTGCTACTCCTTCTTGCCACCTTCTCCACAGGCACAGGTCTTATGGCTCAGCAGCATTTTCTGTTCTAATTGCTTTTGTTGATGTGGGTTCTATTTAGCCCAACTCTGAGCCACGTTGTGATTTGCCATGTGATGGCTTTTGGTGACCTGGGCACTGAGGTTGTGAGGCTGATTCAGGTGCTGGCTGAGGAATTAAAGAAAGATCCACTTCTTTCACTTCACCATTAATCCTAATAGTGGCAGGGAGTCTAACTTGTCATCTAACTGCACTCTCTTCACAAAGATGCTACAATACAGCTGTCCCAAGCAATGCCTCAGACCACTTTGGGATGCTCTGAAAAGCAAGCTGTCTTTGGAAGGTGCTGTGCTCAGTGGTGGTAAGCCTGTGTCCTGTGGGGTGGGATGCTAATGGCAGAGCAGTGAGTGACAAGATGGGATGGATGGGCAGTGGCATGGATATGAGAGGCCCAGAAATACAGGCTGGGCTGAGCCGAGCCCCATATCAGTGTGATCCTGGATAATCAGCTGCTGCAATTCTGAAACATCCTGCACAAGCATTTTCTTTGCAGTTAATCAGATGAAATGCTCCAAAACACAATCCTACTTGACCCACATAAAATGTAAAATTAATTCCTATCCCTCAGCATTTGTCATGCTTTTCTGAACCTCCGTGTAAGCATAAAGCACCGTGGTGTATCTCAGCTGCAGGGACTGCATCGAGCTGGCTGTGCTTGGAGGTTGTGTGCAGGTCAGCATTTTAATTTCTTGCTTCTAGGGAGGGGTGGGAGTAGGTGGTCTGCCATTTGGAGAACCTGTGTTTCAGTCCTGTGGATTCTGAGGAGATTCTGTGCTGAGATTGGTTGCTGTATCTGGAAGGACAGACGTGTTTAATATAAACATCTGGACGCTTGTAGGCTGAGCTCAGCAACAGAGAGCACTCATCCTCATCATTAGAGCATTGCCAGCTGTGCAGAGAAAGAAAGATTTCTCTTGAAGCATAAAGGAGGAAAACTGTAATGGAAAAAGCAGAACCGTTCATGAAAGCCCTTCCATTTCAGAGTAAATCACGCTCTTGAAAATCCTTCCATAATGCCCCCACAGCCATTCACGTGGATAGTTACTGCTTCTGCAACTCATTTTAAAACAAATTTTAGACTGTCTGTGCACTTGGAGAAGGTAATGAGTGTTTGGCTCCAAGTTTAAAAACCCCACTCTGAAACTTAAAGGAAAGTGGTTCAAATGGAGCCTTTTAACACCCTCCTGATTCTTAATCCTTGGAAGCTCCAACTCCATAAAGTTCAGATGTGAGTGTTCTCCCAAAGTCTTTCTAGAAGGAAGCTACATCTGTAGTGTTGTCACACGAGCATGTGTGGCTGCAGCCTGGGGGCATGGGACGGAAAGCCAAGTGCCCAGCAGGAGCCCCTGGGGGTGTGCAGGGAAGAAGCCTGGTCCTTCTCTGAGCAGGTGTTTGTGGGACAGAGCTTTGCATCCAGAGCTGCCTCAAGGAGGAAGGATTCATCAGAATTGAGAAATATTGGGAAGAGCTCTTTCTTTTCTGGAAAACAAGTTAAAATGGGATCATCTCCTCTGTAGCAATTTGTTCCAGGGTGATTTTGTTCTGCTTCTGCTGTTAGCAGTGACCTTGTGTAGTGCAGAGGAGGAGTGAACAAGCAAGTATTTTGTCTGTCTTGTGCTCATATGAATTGAGAAATGCATAGACCAGCTGTTCTCTAGGAAGTATGGATTTAAATTTTTTCATAGAATATCCTGAGCTGGAAGGGATCCATGAGGATCATTGAGACCAACTCCTTTTGTTTACTTTTCTCTTTTTCCTAGGAAACTACTTTGCAAGCCACTTCTTTATGGGAGGTGAGAAGTTTGACACCCCTCACCCCGAGGGATACCTTTTTGGTGAGAACATGGATCTAAACTTCCTTGGGAATAGACCTGTTCAGGCAAGTTCCTATATCCTACCTGTTTTGCACTTCTGTTTCAGGCTCATAAAGCCTCTTCAATCAGGTTTCCCAATCGGAACATAGCATCAGTTTTCCCAGTTGGAACATGGAAATATTTTGAGGCTCGCAGATGGGAGGCTGTGGAAAGCTGCCTGCTCCAGTGCAGAGAGCCTCTGTTCAAGTAGAAAGTGCAGATGAAGAATACAATTAGGAAGAAGGGACTCAAATGGAAATTCTGCTGGACATGCAGTGCTGTGCAGGCAGGAGGAGGCCCACCAAATACCCTGTGCCATGTCTGTGTGCAGGGCAGTGATGAAGAGCTGACTGCTTCTCTTTTGCTCTGTGAGCAGCAGCTGCACAGCACTCCAAGGAGAACAGAAGATGCAGCTGTCAGCTCAATACCCGATGTGCTTATGGCTGCAGGGACTGGTTGTGCAGTCTTAGAGTTGCATTATCTGTGTGTCTCAGCCTGGGTTCCCTTGCAGACATTCTGGCACTGAATTTCATTTCTTCAGAGGGGAGTGGGTGAGAACACTATTAACACAGTGGGACATTTGCCAAATGGGTTTAAGAGTGGGAGGCTGTCGTGGTCTATAGTTTGCCAATGTAAGGTAATGCCCTTTGGCAGCTCTGATTAATCTTCAAGGAAAAAAAAAAACTACTTGAACACGCAGCAGCAACACAGCTCTGTGGAAATTGGCCAGTTTCTCCTTTTGAAATAACTGAGGACTTGATTGCTGCATGTGCAGCACTGCTACTGACCACAGTGCTGAGCAGTTGGGTCGCAGAGAAAGCAGTTGCTGCCTCCATGAAGTCTCTGCTGCCTGTGGTTGTGGATTGGCACCCTCATGTTGGTCACAAATGGCATGTTTTCTTTCAGGCTCTGGATCTTGCCACACCAATATGCTTCTGTGGCCCAAGGGAACAATGGTACAGGGTTGTGTGTTGGAACTGCCTGAAGCTCGGCAGGAGCGGCATTAGGCTGCCTGCTTAGCAGATTCCTCATTTCTATGGATACACACATATTGGTGGTCCCTGATACTCCTCTGAGTTAGTTGTACTCTCTGGTAGCTCAGCATTGCTGTACAGCTCCTGGTAGCTGTGTTTGAAGGACCACAACTTTGATGTGGCTGTGAGGTGACACTGTTGCTGTTTATGTTTCCCATAACTGTCAGCCTGAGAGCCTGTCTGGTAGCTCTGCATCTCTGTGTCACAGAGTTGCTCTAATGCAATATGATTGCATTTCTAGTTTGAGCACCTACAAACCTTGCAGACATTTCAGCCTGACTGCTCTGAGATGCAGTAGGGGGACTTGCAACAGCAAGGGCTACAGGCCCCACACTGAGCAGTTCTTTGTGGAGGTTCTTTGGCCAGTGTAGAAAACTAGTCTGCAGCACCATCCTTCTGCATTTAAAGGGCAGTCTGTGAGAGAAGATCTCTTGATTGTGGAATTGAATGAGGACCCCTATTCCCATCTCTCTTTTTTTTTTTTTCCCCTCTCCCTTCCCCCATACATTTGCCTCATTGTTTCAGAATAAAAGAATTTCCCCCAGTAATCCAGAGCTTCTGCGTGCTGATTATCAGTCAGTCACTGTTTGCACTCTGTAATACATGTGGAAGAGCAGCATATCTTCTGCTCAAGCTGGAGGTAATTTCTGTACTCAAAATAAAATCTTGTGAGAGCGAGGCTTTCTGGACTGCAGATTCAGAGTGCAGAAAAAGAGCTTATGAGAGTGCCCTTGTTAAGGGACATACCCCTGGTATGCTTGGCCAGAGCAGAATTTTCACTCTGAAATGTGCTTGATTTATCTGTACATACAATTCTCTGTCACAGTTCTTTGGAGTTAGATGAATGTTTCTTGATTTGGGTAAATAGTTTGTCAGGTAACGTACTGCTACCTTATGTAATAATAAGATGACAATTTGCTTTTGTCTTTCAGTTCCCATATGTGACCCCAGCTCCCCATGAGCCCGTGAAGACACTGAGAAGCTTGGTGAATATCCGCAAGGACTCACTCCGCCTCGTGAGGTACCATTACTGCTTGAACCCATTTCATTCAGCCCAGGGATCCGGAGCATCTGGAGCCAAACTGCCAGTTCCATATGGTTTAGAGGAACAGCTGAATCCCAGATCTTTGTTGGTAGATGTATTCAGAAGGTTCTGGGTACCACTGTGATCAGAGTTTTCAGGCAGTTCACGTGCTTCTTCATCCCTGGACTTAAGCAATCTGTATTTTTCAGAGAGAACCAGTATGTGTCTTTACAAAGAGAACAGAGTGGTAAACAAAGCCTTGAATTTTGCCTGCTATTGCTAGCACAAATGGAACATATTAGTCGGGTCAATAAACTCTTCAGACAGATTCCTTTCTGCATTCTTGTGTAAGGGGAAGCCAGAAAGTAGTTGCTCCTGGTGCAAGTCACTGACAGGGAGCACTGATTGGTTTTGAGTGAAACTTCCTCGGCTTCCTCCTGCTGCCAAGACAAAGTTTGGTCCTGGTGTTATGTACTAATGTAACTGGCTTCTGTCCCATGAGTAGGGAAAGGAGTTCTGGATAGTTCTTGGAGATCTATTACCTTTCATTGCTTTACACTGAGATCTAAGGCCGCGCTAACAAAAATGTGACTTCTGGACTAGATGCAATGGTTAACGCTTTGACTTGAGGCTACCCTCTTTCACACAGATGGCTGAAGAGCAGAGACCCAGCACACAGTGCTTTGTTTTGGTCTGAGCACCTGGGCAGATGTCCAGGCTAAGCAATTCCCAGAGATCCTCGAATCTCTGAATTCTGTGTTACGGACGTGGGGTTGGAGTGCTGGCAGGGGGACAGGTTCAGCTCTCAGCCAAGGTGATTCTGAGAGCGTGGTGTAATGTGAGTCAGTTGAGTCATAACCATGCAAAACCTCCAGTCTGTTTTTATCTGAAAACTGACATTGTTTGTTTGTTATTAAATGAGTGATACCTTTGTTTCAAAATCAGTTAAGCAGGAAAAGAGAGAACTTCTGAAAAAGTAACCACTGGCAAACTGTTTTGAATGTTGTCCAGCTTTTTCAGCTAAGAGCTGTGAAGTTCTTTTCTGGAACAAAATCTCACATTCTTCCCAGACTTGCTGTGGAAAGGGCATTTCATTCGTCTTTCAAACATCCACAGTACAACAGAGGACTTGTTGGTGGGGTTTAGTTTAGTTCATACAGTTCTATCATTCTGTTTTCTGTGATTTCATGCCCTGCCAAGCAGAGTTGCAGCTCTGGACTATTTGAGATGTAGTATCTATGTACCTTGGCATTATCTTAGTTTTGCATCCCTGTAATTCCCAGTACTTTCAGTTATTTGCATCATGAGCACTCACAGGCTCTTGTACTGCTGTTAGAGCTGACGACAGCAGCACCAATGCTATTCTATTTTATTTTATACCAATGTAGACCCAAAATGGGATTTTAATTGCCAGTCCTTAAGGGCATGTTCTGTCATGTGCTTTTCAACTGTTCTGTACAGCGGGCTTTTCATTTCTCCTTCTGTATACATAAAGACACTTGCTGCCCCCTCCAGCTTAGTTCATTGGCATTTGATGGTTAAGGCTTGGAGCTTCCTCTCAGAAGTAAATAAGATACCATTGAACTGAGTGTCTAGGTACAAAGTAGGCTCTGATGGTAACATTCCCATAGTCCATTTATTTTTGCTTGTTATTTTTAACTGAAAATTCATTGTTTTCTTCTGAAAAGAGTATTGATTCATAATTTGCAATGTAGAGCTTAATGGAAGAAGGTGAAGAAATGTTCACCCTGGGTTTCCTGCCTTGCTGTCACCAAAGTTCTGAGCTTTGCTGAATCCTGAGTATTTCCAGTAGTTTTGGAGAGAAGCAACAGTTCTCTGGATGTTGAAGTTGGAGTTGTGAGTGTTTGATGCCTGTGTGAGTGCTTAATTTCTAACAGGATGAGGCTCTGTAGACCTCAGAGGAGGGCAGCATGAGTTTTGCTGTTAAGCATTGACAGAAGAAAGTGGTTTTGTGTCTGTCTTGTTGCCCTTCTTGGCCCTGGCTTTCAGAGCTGAAGCACCTGATGGGCAGGAACAGGCTGCTTGCTCATACCTTGAAAGCACTTCCTGCTGCAGGAGGAGGATCAGCTTATGAGGCAGTGTTTCACAGAGCAGAAGCCCCCTGGCTCAGCCACTCTTCTTCAGTGTGGACTTTGGATTTTGAGTAGAGCCTCGTGGAACAGAAATGTGAATACTGATAGAGATGGCAGCCAGTTCTTACTTCGTTTAGTGACCGCCTCAACATTGACTTAATGCATTTATGAGTGTATATCATGCTACAAACTCACACAATAACATTCATAATGCATGTCTACTGAGTTGTTCAAAACTTTTAATTTCCTCAAAGGATGAAATCAGGTTCGACTTGACCCATTTCTGTAACATTGTCATGGCTGCTGTTAATTATATTTTTATCTTTTAATTCTTTAACAGACGAGCAAAAAGTTCCAGCACTTCCACTGTTTTATCCAGAAGGGATGTCAGACCAAGTGGCCTCAGCTCCCTTGGTCGGCCTGCTTTGACTTTTACATCATAGCATTGGATCAGCTATTTGTTCTCAAGGTGGTCAATCTGTTCTGCTCTGTACGTGTGATAGTTAAGGCTATGTGATTAGCTTGTGTGCATGACCAAAAGGCACACTAACAAACTCACTGGTTTCTAAATTAGTGCATGCATCTGAGGCCACCTCACATCAGCACTGTCTGTAGGGCTTGACTAAAATGTACACTGTAAACTTCAAGTACAGATGGAGACAGAAGGGCTCTTGAAACTCCTGAACCACCTCCTTGTATGCCACATTTGTTGCAAAGATGGGAGGAATGCAAAATGTCTTGCTGATCCCCTGAAGTTTACATCCTGCACCATAAGGTGGAACATGAAATGTCTCTGCCTCTCAAAGTATGCACTGTGGTAGTCCTTGCTTGTCCCCTGATTCAGCTGCTGGCTGGCAGAGCTGCAACCTTTTCTCACATGAACTCCTTGTTATGTGGCCAGTGTTCTCATTAATCTCCAGCACCAGCATGTTATCATGGGAGATGTGCAGGCAGCCTTACTGAGGCTGCTGCTGTTCAGAATGCGTGCTTTACCCCTTGTTCCAGTGATGCTACTGCAGGCAGACAGGGCTCTGACTCTACTACTCTGCAGCAGTGCCCTCTCCAGAAGCCTGCCCACCAAGCACTAGGTTGTAGTAACTAGGTTGTTCACAGTCCAGATTTTACCCTTTTCTACTTACAAGTGTGGGAACGTGTTCTGAATGCTGGTAGGGAGCTGCAGGAGTGAACCTGGGAGCAGGAAGGTGCTATGGGAATCTGTATGCTCAAAATGATTTCCCTGAGAAGACAAAACAGAGAATGGTTTCACTGTTGACATGTTGCTCTTGTGGGATCCACCCTCCTGCAGGTCTCCCACTTTGTCACTTGGGGCTATTCTGGGTATCTAGGCTTGTGTTGTTGATCAGCAACTGTGCTTGCCAACCTCATTGTGCAATGAGAATAGATGAGCCAGCTAACCACCATCAGTGCCTGCATGAAACAAGTGCTGGCTTTCCCCTACCTGGCAGATGCATGTTAGCTTGGAGATCTTGCTCCTCTTGACCTTTGCTGCCTACCTTGGATCAGCAAAGGACCACAGAGCAAGAGCTAATTTGCAGCTCATGTTGCTGCTTTCTCTGGACATGCACAACACTTGCAAGTGGAGTAGTGGATTGTTGCCTTCAGTCTTCTCACTTTGGTCCAGCACAAAATATTGAAGCTACAATCATATTTTCTATGGCTAGAATGCTTCCTGTGCACAGCCTTGAAGTGCCATGACTTTATTCTTTGAATGTCACCTGCTTGCGTGAAAGTACTCATGGAATACTCATATGCAACAGAATACTCACTCTATTACTGGTTATTGTCTCCTGGCTGCTGCAGATGTTTAGTCTGCCTGTTCCTGGGTTTTGTTTTTTTTGTACTAGCAGTTTGGATGTATTCTAACTTGATTTACTCCTCTGACCAAAGTGAACCTCTGGCAAAAGTCTTGAGTCTTTCAGACAGAAATGCAAGTGTATGCAGTACTTATCACAGAATTGTGAGAGTTGGAAGGGACTTCTGGAGATACTCTAGCCCAACCCCTCCTGCTAAAGCAGGTTACCAAGAGATTTAGTGAGGTCACGTTAGTACAAACGTGCATGTTTGGTATGTGATTGTACTGCTCTTAAATTTTATTTTGTGCCTTCTGTATTAATTGGCTGAAGCAAAACACTTCATTCTTGTTTAGCGTGTTAAGTAAAATTCATACCAGAATTCTTAATTAGGCAGCAGTTATTACGTCTCAGTGAACTTGGTAAATATGAATTCCCTTGACAGTTTTTAGATTGAATGATGGAGGTGTGCCTAGCCTATTTCAGAGTGTTTTCAGCAGTGCAGCATGTTTGTGGAGGCTGTTTAACGAGGGGAGAGGCCAATTAATACTGTGAACTTAGAGATGGTGCCAAGCTTTTCCTGAATAGTTAAGCTGCCTGGCTCTGACCCAGGCATCCTGGCAATTAAGCTAATAGTGATAGGCAGTGAGGCTGGGACTGGGCAGCAGAGCAGTATTGTGGTACACTTCTCAAAGCCGACCTGCTGCATTCACCATTACTACATAATACATGAAATAACTGCTGGACCTGAAATTGTAGAATTACAGTGGGGTTTGAATTAAGGTATGAGAATCTGCTTCTGTTCTGCCAGTGAGTCATGTCCTTTCTGTCATTTAGTGCTTAAGGACAAAGGGAGCTTTTCTCGTGCTATGTTGTATTTGCTGTTTGTTCCAGAATCTGCTGTTTTTCCTGGCCATTGGCACACTTTAACTCACAGCTCATCCACATCTGAACCTTGCTGCCCTGCAGCCTGCCTGCTTCATACCACCTTTTTCACTGGATTTGTTGCCTGTGTTTTTAGCAGGAAGGAGGAGTAATATTCTGTTGTGGTGATCAGCTGTCACACAGTGGGATCCAGCTATCCAGTAGCCCAAATACAAGTTATTGCTTCCCTTTATGTTCACTGAAGTACTCATTCTTGAATAGTTTATCATGTATTTGATGCAATTGAATGTGTTAATTTTTGTTCATACAATAAATGTATGTACCTCTCAGTCATGAAAAATGTTTCTTCTCCTAAAGTTTGATGTTTGGTAGTTGACCTTCTTGGCTCTTTCCACGGCTGTAAGACTGGATGAGATTTCTCAACATCATTGTTACGTAATTCACTTCAATAACTTCAGAAAAATCTTGGAAGAACCTTCCTCAGAGGAAAGAATGGAAATCTCCTGGGCATTATGGAAGCCCGTGATGACTTTTCTGCCCAGAGCACTTACATTGGAGTACTCCCATCCTGATTTTCAGAGTGAACTTAATGGCTATGAAATACCTCATAAATATATTCTAATCTTTTGGCATTCTTTTGCAGGTATAAAGATGATGTGGACAGTCCTACTGAGGAGAATGGGAAGCAGAAAGTCCTGTACAGTCTGGAGTTCACTTTTGATGCAGATGCTCGTGTTGCCATCACAATCTACTGCCAGGCTACAGAGGAGTTTGTTGGTGGCATGGCTGTGTAAGTCTTGGTCTTGTGGGCACTTGGAGGGGTACAGAACCTCTCAGGTGAGGAGCCTGACAAACATCTTTCCTTACTTGCCTGTGAAGCAGTACTGCTACAGGTGATGGAAAATGAATTCTCTTTCTGTTTTATGTACTCTGATAGCTTTGAATATTGCTTTCACTTCCTTCCCCCACAAAGCCAATTTCCTCTCTTGTTCCCACATTGGTTTGTTTTTTGGATGTGGGGAAACCATTTTGTGTGCAACAAAGGAGAGGAACTCACAGCTGTGTGCTCTTTCAGCAAGATGATTTATGAAATTACAGAAGCAAATACCCTCCTCTTCAAATACAATCTGCTTTTCCAGATCACACCACTGAATAGATTTTTGTGTTCCCTGGGGTGGGAGCATCTGGGCCACCAAAGAGAAGTTCAGCTTGACATGTACGTGTGAGTCTGTGAGGAACTGAGACCTATCCGAAGTCCCATTTGGGGGTAAATGACTACCTCAAAACAGGGCATTGTAAAATGACTGTCAGGAACATTTATTGCCCAGAAACCCTGCCTGTATGTTTTCTGTCTGATACAGACTAACCTTTGGCTCACTGTAAAAAGAGTGGTCTGGGCATGATCCATGGAATTTTCCTCACATATTTCATTGTAGTAATGTATCTCTGCAGATTTCAAAGCCTTTTTATCTAATTGAGCAATTTAAACCATTCCAATCAACACTGTGTCTGTCCTCTAAGATTACAAAAGCTTCCTCTTTTCACTGAGGGCTGTGGTGGCTGAAACTTGCTCTTCCTTGTGTGCACTGGGCGCACTTGAGCTGCTGGTACATGACTGCAGACTTCAGTAACCATGGAACAAAAAGTTCTTCTTGTTCTATGGGTAAAGGCTGCAAAAGCTCTTGGCTTTTTCTGGTAGAGGCTTTTGGCTGATCAGGAGCTCTGTGCACATTGTACTGATGGCTTCTGCAGTTGTGCTCTTGATTTGGGGGTAAAGTCATGGCTTATTTAAGTGATCTGTAGAAGTTTCAGCAGGGAGAAATATGTATGACAAACCATAAAGTGGCTCATGTGCTTTATACAAAGTATAAACATCCCACTAATGATCAGAATAAGGTGGCTTTAGAAATGAGACAACTTCAGTGCTCCCATCCAGATGTGCTTTCTTCCAAACTGGAGGATGTCCTGGTCCAGGATTTTGTTAGGCCCCTCTTTTCTGTTGAAGATTGTGACTGCTTAGTTAATTAAGTTAATTAATTAGATCCTTTTAAGTGATTGAAAAATCTCTCCTGACAAACTCAGAAAATCCCTTCAGCTCTGAGAAACTGAATCTAAATAGAATGCAACAGGGTGCCTTAGAAATCCTGATGAAGTTTCCATGTTCTGTCTCTTAGGTCCTTAGGTTTCCTGTGAATTTAGTGCTAGTCAAGTGCTGGAATGGCAACCTTGGAGATTGAAGTCCTCTTTTCCTAATACAGGTACAGCGTGGACAGGCAGCTAGTTTCCCTTGTGCTGCCTTGCAGAGCATTCCTTGGTTTTCATCCCAAGAGGGAAACTGTTATGGGCTAATGGGGAGAACGGAAGGCCTCCATGGCCAGGGTGGATTTGCTATCGTTGCTACTGCATAGAACTTATTGTTTCTGGACTCTGTTCACTTCTGTAACTAGGAACTCTGTCCTCTCAAAACTCTGTCCATTGATTGGATGTGGAAAACACAGTTTCTGGTTCACTTAAGGATGCTATTTTACTGAAATTTCATACCTTCCTCTTGTTCTGCTGTCTGTTTTTTAAAGCTTATGCAACAAACATGAATTACCTAATTGCTTTTTAAATTGAATTCCTAGGTACGGTTTCTGAAAGCTAACATAACTGTCAACTTCAGATAAAAAAAAATATATTTTTAAATACAAAGTTTTTAATCCACCCTGTCCGTGGTTCACCAACAGATGGATCTCTGCTCAGGTGATGAAGGAGAACCTTGCCTGCCTCTGCATGAAACCAGGATCTGTGGTCAGTGCTCATTTCTTTGCCACATGTGGCTGAGTTGCCCTGTTAGGATGGAAGCAGTTCCCAGGGCACTAACCCTTCATGCTGAAAGTCAAAGCACTTGGATTCAGCTCTTGCTTCCACTGCTGTCCTTTGATTTAATAAATCATAGTTTAATTTCCTCATAGTATAGTATTGATGAGCTGTCTATTTCTGCTCTGGAGTTCTTGCACAATAAATGTTACAGAAAAATGGGGTGTGGGGTGCTGTACCAGAAGCCAGTAAACTTTTTGAAGGCATGATCTTGATTTCATGCAGATGTGTAGGCAATAGGGGCTGGGGGAAGTGAGATACAAATATAGACTTTATAAGCTGCTTTAATTCAACCCAGGCTCTTTTTCCATGTGGAAGTGGCTCATGAAGCACATCTTGGGGCTAGTGCAGCTGCCCAAATTAGGCATCTCTGCTTCTCTGGATTTGCTGGCTGCTAGTAAAAGTCTTTTGAAGCTCTGATTTCAGCTTTGCAAAGCAGTTCTGAAAGTTCTGAAAGGACAGTGCTATAATTACTTTGATTTATTATTTTCAAGTTCTAGTGGGAAAAAGTTGTAAGTAGAGTAAACTATAAGAGTGCCTTTTTAGTGCACTAGCAGGAATGCAGCTTCCCTCCATGTGAGGTGGTACTTTTCTCTTTTTCTCAATTTCTCTTGGTGCTGACACCTACATTTAAGTAACAAATGTGTGCAAGAGTTGCACTGCACTGTGTGTTAATCCAAAACTGCATTTCTTGCTGTCCAGCACTTGATTGGGAAGAAGACTGCTTTGTTATAAAGACACTTTTTTTTTTTTCTTCCACTTTCCTAAATTGATGCAAATTCCTAAAAATGGGAGAAACTTTCTGGACCATTTTCTAAAACAGAAATTTCCTCCTAGTCCCTGGCCTGCAGCATGGCTCCTTAGAAGTGCTAGACAAGTTATTCTTGCTTCTTTGCTGGAGAAACTGCCAAACTTGATAGCATCTGAACCTGATAGCATCAGTGCTTCTGCTCCTGTGAAACTGCAGCTGGAAACATCATTATGTCCATGCAATTTGGAGTAGGAGGATGGAGGGGATGTGGCTCTCAGTGAGCTGAGGCATTGCTTGTCATCAAGCTTCTGCTCACCTTGGAGCAACAGCATTCCCTTTGCCTGTGGTCTGTCTTTATGAATAGCCAGTCTCTGTGACGAGAGGGAAGTGTTTCTGCAATCCAGAAGTCTTCCTCCTAGAACTGCTTGGGCTCCATCTAAAAGCTGCAGGCTTCATCAGCCTATGCTGCCTGTACTGACCTGCCTTAGAGAGCGTTCAGCACACTCCCAGGTACTGATGTTGGGAGATGTGTTCAGCTGTACTGCTTCCCAGCCAAGATCTTGGCAGCACATCTCCCAACCACTATCTGCCTCTTGTCCTGAGCTACTGAACTCTGAATTTCACAACAAGCTGTTGTTACCATTATGGGGTTGTAGTTGACCTATAAAGTGTGAAGATAGTGTATGTGTGTATCTGGGGAAAGGTATCCAGTACTTTCTGGTGCTAGTACAGATACAGTAGCAGCCTCTTGAACAACGTGAATATTAGTTTAAATCTGGAGGGGACCACTGCTCTGATTATCCCTCTTGTCCAGGTAGAGTGTGCTTAAAGAATCTGTAGATGAAGACATGTTAGCTCTTGGAGGAGCAGCTGGTGAGTGACCCAGAGCATAACAGAGACCAGATCTGTCTATGTCTGGAGCCTTTTTAATGGCATGGAATTCATGGCAACCTGCTTTTGGACAGCTCAGCGTCCCTATTTATCCTCAATTTCATGTGTTGTTGCATCTATTTTCTTTGATTTTGAGAAACTGCCCTGACAGGACATTTGGTGGGAGGAAGAACATGAGATGTTGGGTCAAGAGGATATTTTAGAGATTGGGGATTAGGGAGTGGTTGGGTTTGTTCTGCTTGGCAAATTGTGGAGCACAGAGATTAAGGGCAGGCCAGAGAGGAGGTGTGCAAGGGATGACTGGGATGGGACTGGGTGAAAGGTATGAGAATCCCTGCCTTATCATAGGGAGGCACAAGCACACAGATGTGTGAGCTACATCAGCTACTTGCTAGTGATCACCTGTAGGTCTGTGCTGTCCCTCAGAGAAATGATAAGATAGTCTATATTGCTTGCAGTGCTAACAGTTCCTAGGGAATACTTGAGGGTATACTTGAGTTTATAGCCAGCTTTTTTCTGCAGTGAATGGTTTGTGTTTGTACCCTCAGATTTATTGTAGGAGACGAATATGCTTTTGGGAGCAGGTAAATTGATGCACATATTCTCTTTTTGTGTGCTCTGTGAATGTATCCTTTCCTTTTCTGGCACAGCCTTAATATGCACACACTATTAGGTTCCTGGGAGGGCCCCCAGGACTTTTCCAGCTGTGAGTATCCTGCTGACTAGCAGGAAGGGTTGTGTAGTTTTAACATGGCAGCAGTGGATGTTTCCTCAGGGGAAGGAGTCAGACCAGCTGGAAGCACTTAAGGCAGCCAACTCTGAGGGCAGGAGCAATGTGCACAGATCATGAGCTGCTGATAAATATGACGTGAGAGATGTGAGTTTTTGCAGTCCTTTCTTATGACAAAGACCTTCCTCTTTGGACAGAGATAGTACTCTTTTTGTCCTAGTAATGTTGCCAATGCTATGTTTCTTTATTATAAGGAGAAAACAATGAAAACATGCCAGTTTAGCTCTGCTTAGCTCTTCACCCTTCTTCAGAATTATGATGTTTGTGTTGCTGATGCACAAATGGGTGTGCTGGAATTCTTTTTGTCTAATTTCCTTGCTTGTTTTGCAATATCTGCTACACATTACAAACATTCTACCGCTGTCTTCCAAACTGAAGTAGATGTGACACTGCAATACATGAAGTATTTTGTCTGCTTGTGGAGATTTGAATAGGTAGTTCACAAAATGGAATCTGACTGAAATGTGTACTCAGCTCGTGGCCGTTTTCCTAAAGCTTGTGTAGGAGAGACAGCAGCACTCATATTCCTTTGTTTAATTAATAGCCTCTGTCTGTCTGTTCAGAGCCTTTGAAAGGTGCTCATGCTGCTTTTGGCTGTGGACTGTGGTGATTAATATGAATTCTTTGCACAGAGAGATTTCTTCAATGTGAAGAAATCAGAGGCAGAGCTTTTTTCTGCTAGGCACAAGCTTTAACAGCCAAAGCCTGCTTTGATCTATGCAGGCACCGGTCCCCAAGGGACTGTAGTGTACAAAGTTCACATGCTGAAAAGCTAAATTGTGTAGATTTCATTGAAACAGACAAGCCCTCTGTCTTTAATAAGAGTTCTGGCCTTTGTGCCTTTCTCTGTTGCTGTTCTGTAAGTTGCCATCTTTGAAGCCTGGCTAGAGTCAGGAGTACAGCTCTCCCTGCAATGAGCTCAAGTGAGATGGCTGCAGGTGCTGCAACAAGATCTGGATGGCAGGGTTTCATTGCATGGTAAGGTGTTTGTTTCCTTCTGGCCTGGCTTGGAAACCAAATCTTGTGAGGAGGCAGGGGAAGAGGAGAAGAGTGTGCGTGGCAGTGACTGCAGTGCACCAACTGAGCACCCACAACTTCTAGACTCTGTGTAGGAGTTTCTTGGTGCTGGATCTTGCCTAACTCTGGCTGTGAACCAGGGCTGCACCCTTCTTACTTTTTGTTAGTGTTTCTTTTATCAATAAAAAATCACTTTGAGTTACTGGGGACACTTGCTCAACTTCCTTCTTCCCCAGAAGCTGACTTGTTCAGATTCTGTCTGAAGATGAAATGGAAATGTACAGATAGAAGGGAGAGGTATCAATGTACTTGCTCCACATCAACTCCTGGCCCCTTTGAACACCAGCAGAATGTGACTGGCTCCTTCTTCACTGAGGATGTGAAGCCTGCCAGCGGAAGAGCTGGTTCCTGAGTACCCTCTAGAGCTGGGACTGGTGCCCTGCTGTAAACTTCCCCAGGCATCGACCTAGGGAGGAGTGAGAGGGAAACTCCCCTGCATCCTTCATCTTGCTTCTCTAGTGAGTGTGTAGCAACAACAGCTTCACTCAGCTTAGCCAGAGGTTCCCAAACACCATCTTGCCCCTAGTGGTTTGGGAGCTAATTAAGGTCTACAGGTGCCCAGTAGCAAATCTGGTCTCTCTGAGCCGTGGACTGAGCAACTGCATGCAAATAGGGAGTGCTTCTCAGCTGAGGGCAGAGGAGTGAGACTTGAGGAATAATTTCAGTTAGTTTCTTGGATTCCTTATATTCTTCAATAAGCACACTGTCTATGTCAGGCATCCAGGCCATCTCTGACCTCCACTCTCTCCTCTGCACTTCAGTTGCAGTAGGTTCCTCTCTTCTTGTCACCTTAGATAAGTCATTCCCCTCCTTCCCAGCTGCACAGGGAGAATTGTGCCTCTTTGCATAGCTGGGAAGCTTTGAGAGAGCCACAAAAGGAGCTAGATAGAGGCATACTCTATTCATTGTGCCTGACAACTCAGTAAATAAAACTTCACTCAATTGCTTGCTCTGTAATTCACATACAAAAGATCTGTCATCCTCATCACTCCCACACCGTGCTTTAAATGCAAAGGATGGGGTCAGACCTTCCAATAAAGCAGCACTATTGTAGTGCAGTTTAGAAAAGTCTTTGAGGGTAATGTATGGTAAATGCATCTACCTTGGCAAGAAGAGCAGAGAGCACACGATGGTCCTGATCTTCATCACGACCTTTCAGAATTTAACGCTGGTCTTGTGGCAAACCTTGAAGACCATCTCCTCATGGATCCTCAAAGGTTGCAGGAACTACACCAGTTTTCCAGGGAAAGGCAGATTATGCCAATGGAAAACCTTTTTTTTTTTTTTTTTCCTCTTGGTTTGAGAGGAATTAAGTATCCATCATCATCTGGTATCCAGGTTTTTAGCGCCTCAGCTGCAAAATGCATCCTAATGACTGTGCTTTAAATCTCTGTGTTGGGTAACAAGCCTTGGAGGGCAGGCAGCCATCCCTGTGAGCTCTGTGCACTGACATCAGGTTGGGAGGCCTAGAACAGGCCGTGTGGGTGTTGGGAGCCTGGCTCAACCCAGCCCCCCCGCACAAGCAGGGTACCTTTGGGCTCTGCATCAGCTGGGGCTGGGAATGTGCCCTGCCTTCCCCTTCTGCTTGGAGAGGGGAATGCAGTGGTAGGGTTGCTAAAAGTGTGTTTAAAAAGTCACCAAGTATGCCTTGCCACAGAGGTGTTGCTAGGGAGATTAAGGAAAGTTAAGCTCCAAAAGCAAGATAGAAAATATGTGTTAAATAGTTATGGTAAGTAAAGCGGGAGCTGCATTCAGCTTCTGGTAGGAAGCAGAGCAGCTATTGCTGTACCTTGTCCTCCAGCCAGTGCTGACTGTGGTGTCTTATCCATTACAAGGTCTGTGCACATGCACCAATCCCATTTCATCATCTAGGTTCTTTAGTGTAAAATAGCTTCTTGTACAATTTTAAGGCTCAGATGTGTCTTCACTAATCACCTCTGCCATCCTGCAGCCCAGTCTTTTCTGCAAGATGTGCAGTCTCAGGTGTGATGCTCAGTTCTGCAGTTATTGGCTGACTATGCAATTTGAGCTTTTCCCATAATATTTCCTTCACCACCTCTGGGGATGAGCTATCCAGCCCTCCTGCTCCCAGCTCAGAGAAGCCAGAAGGCGTTATGCCTGATGCAGAAGAGCTTTGCATTGCCATCCTCTTCTGATGTGCTGTGCTCCTCCACAAACTCTAGTTAGGCTGATGCTATTTGGAACTTTTCAACTTCTGCTTATACAGCTGGTGGCTTGTAAACTGTATCTGCATTTTGGAATAGCTGAACGTCCTCCAGAGTACAGAATCGTGTTACAAGCAAGGATGTTCTTTTCTGTGCTTCTGTGCATGCTTTGTTAACTGCTTTACCTGATGGCACTCCATACTGATTTGGTCCACAGTGAAGCAATGCCTTTGTATCTTCTGGTGTTGCCCTCTTCACAAGGCTGGAACAGCACTGTCCACCTTATCGTTTGAGAGTTGTTATAAGCAAAATATGCCAAGCTGATTGGCAGGGAATACTTCGTGATATCCCAGCTTAAATTAAGGAAAAACTCAGTCTAGAGCTCCTGGTTCTAATGTGACACCTGTCCCATGCTGTCTGATCAATCGTGGCCAGTGGCAGTTAAGTTTGAGCAGTGACCAGAGCTTCTGACTGCTCAGAGATCTTTGCAGTGGCTGGAGGACAATGTTCTCCCAAGTCTCACTTTATGAAACTCTGCTCTGGAAGTCAGAATTAGTGTAAGAGAGACATCATCCTGTTATTGTGATGGGTTAACATCTTCCTTGTAGAACTGGAGTTAGACCTGTGGAGGTCTGTTGTTTCTGCAGTGTAGGCCTGTTGGGCAAGGGATCTTTCTCTCTGTTTTGTCAACATGCTCTGAACACAGTGTTGGTAGCTCAACAGCACAAAGACTGTGGTAGTAAAACCAGCTTTGGATGTTCCCACCCTGCTTTATAGTCCATTGCCTGCTCCCTTGTGCCATAGCTGACATAGTTCAGAGATCACTTGGCAGAAAGGAGCATAAAACCCTGTTTTGCCACTGCAGCCCTTTATGAGTTGTGCTCTATGTAGTGAAATATATTTTCTGGGGCAGAAAATATATTTTTGCTGGGGGTTCTGGATGCAGGAGATGCTGGATGTTAACTCTGGTTCCCTTCCCAGAGGCATTTGGCCCAGCCTGGCAGTGCTGGGATTTGGTTGCATTTCATTGATGGCCCTTGGGTGAGTGGGAGGGAGAGTTGTGACTTCTCTAGGAGGCTGGCATAGAGGACTGGCTGGTGGTTCTCTAGTGCTGTTGGTGCTGCATGCCTCTGGGGAAGCATGTGAGGAGTAGAGAGCTGGGGAACTGGTCTGAATGGACCTGGCTTTCCAGAATGGCCCCATGCCAAGTAGTGTTTCTCACTGCAGTCCTGTCCTGCAGAGGCAAAGGGCAGCTCTTAGTGCCTTGCTGTGTGATGCTGCTGTTAGATCACTCCTCATTCTTCCTGAGTTTCCTGCAGAAGATAACTGTGTGCTGGGTGGGAAGCCAGTGTTGCTTTGGCTCTGGATTTAGCAAGCTAGCTTTTGCTAGGCTGCTGCACCCCAAGGCTCCTCTGACATGCAGAGTTTCCAGGCAGGTCAGTATGGATCTAATCCGACCTTGCCTGTCTGTGCTGCTTTCCCTCTCCATGCTCACCTTCTTCCCCTCCCCTCCCCTTTTTGTATTCCCAGTGAATGGCTGCCAGCCCCTGCCAGCTCTGCCTCTTAGAGCTTCCATTTCTGATTCCTGAAAGGCAGACAAGCGTGAATGAATGAGAGCCTAGCAGAGAGCAATCACTTGTTACAGCAAGTCTTCTTTTACCCCTTTCTTCAGATACAGCACAAAGAATCCTTCTCTGCAGTCTGAGACGGTTCATTACAAGAGAGGGGTAAGCCAGCAATTCTCCCTGCCTTCTTTCAAGATTGATTTCTCAGACTGGAAGGATGACGAGGTAAGTCTTTTCTTCACGTTGCCTTCTTTCCACAACTCTGTTGCCCCAGAAGCATTGGCCTCTGTTTAGTGTCACTGAGATACGGCTGGAAGATTTGCACTCACAGCTGCCATGGCATGTTTTGTGGGTGTGAGACAAACAGGGCCTTGGGAGGAGCAGATATGAACGCTGCCTGGGAACTTGGCAAAAAGATGAGGCAAACAGGGAAGAAAAGAAACTGAAAGGAGCAACTTCTGATAACAGTGATCAGCTGGCATCTCAACAGCTGGCGTATGAGGGAGACAGCAGAGATTGGCACAGGAACTGTTCCCAGAGGAACCTACGCTCTTCAGCCTCGTTCTCTCTGTCAGCCAGAGAACTTGTGGGAACAAATGTGCTCCTGTTCACTTGCTAAGTCTTTCCTGGTTACCTTGGGACAGAGCTGATAAAGATTCTGAAAGGGTCTGTCTTCATCTCTCCCTATTTTATTTTTTTTTTTTGGCTTGTCATTTAGACCAGACTCTAGTGGTCTCCAAAATGGGATACATGCAAGACAATTCATTAGGGTGTGAGAAGAACTTCAGCAGTAAATGTTGATAATTCATAAATTTATATATGTATATATATACAAGGAGTGTATGACCAAAATTGTTATATTTATGGGAGTGAAAAATTACAATAGTTTGGAGACTGCTGTTCTAAAAAAGTCTTATTCTATTTAAGGGCTGTGTCCTGCATTATTAGCTCAAGCAGTACTGTGCAGTGAGGGGATACTCTCCCCCTTGGGGCAGATCCACACTGGTTCATTAATGCCGAATAAGGGGATGCCTTCATCCTTTTATTTTTCTTTAACCCATAACTGCAAACAGATGAAGGTTTGGTTTTAATTAAGCTCTGTGGCTTTCTCTACATAGCAAGATCTATGGAGTCCTATTAATTTTGGTATCTCTGCAGAATTCCAGTCCAGGCAGTAACTCTGCTTCTTGAGCCTCTAAATGTTGGCCCAAGGGTTTCCCTGCATGTTACACAAGGCAGAAAGGCTTTGCTGTTTGCCCTCCTCTGTGCAGAGCTGTCCTGAGACATTCCTCATGCAGAGGATTTGGTCTGTAGCTACTGCTAATACACTTGTTCCTGCAGACCCTTCTCCCAGGTCAAAATTAATACAATGCTCATTTCTTCTCTCAGGCTTGTATAAGAGCATTGTGTATGTGAACCCTAATAGGAAACACTACCTATTAAAAAATTAAGATTAAAAAAAAGAAAAAAGGAAAGAAAGAAAAGTCATCTTTCATGTGTTTTGAAAAGATTGAATAGCTATTGTCTTGGAGTTGCAGTTTTAACTAGAATCAGTCGTGTGCTTTAACAGCACTGTGGCAGTTAGCAGGAGCCTGCAGAGTCTGGTCTCCTGATGTCCTGGTTTCTCTGCCAATATATGATTTCACAAGTTCAGCCTACAAAAGCCTGGAAGAGCTGCTTTTCAACCCCTTCTGTCATCTGAGAGAACTGGAAAGTAGGAGCTTAGATCCCTTTCTTAAAGAATTGGGAAGCTTGGTTTTCACTTTTGTTCCTGCCAGCAAGGTTTTAATTTGAGTACTAAAGTCACGTCCCTTTGACAGCTTAAAGGGGAAGGGAGATGCAGTAGAAAAGTAAGTTTCTAGCTCCCTTTGCTGCTTGTTCTGCTGCATCCTCTGGTCTTTTTCGTTGCTTTTATGGAGGCTCTGGTTGTGGAGACAATGTGGTTTAGAACACTGTGATTCAGAAGTTTCTTTCCCCACTTTGGCTGCGTGTATACGTTGTTTGTTTTTTTTTCTCTCAAGTCCAGTAAAATGCTAAATCTTCTTAACAGTCCCCTGAAATGCAGTGCTTTTATCTGACAGCTGGCTGAATGTTATCATTCAGCTGTGTGCAGTTACGTGTTCACATTGCCCTCCTATTTCATTGTTGGTGTTGTCAAAAAAAAAAAAAAGATTTCTTTCACATTTTTGCTCAGTGTAATGCTCAGAGATGATGATGTAGTTCTTGGCTGGTCAGCAGAATGGAAAATAGTGTTACGTTGAGTTGTTATGTGGAAAAACCTTATAAAAACACACTTTTTACTTTGTTTTCCTAACACGCTGGTTTGCTCGTGAGCCATAGTGTAAAGCTTGTGTTGGCAGTTATTTTCAAGCCCCTAAAAATGATTGGGAAACGAGCCATTAAAGAGGCCTTTTGTATGAGGGTGCAATAGTTTATATGGTAAAGCAACCCCACTTGGTTGCTTTACTGTGATGCCACTTTTCTTTCACGTGGACAAAAAGTAGCTGTTGTGTTATGGCAGTAGGTCAGAGCAGGAAGCAAAGCAAGGCCTTAAGTTTCTTTCAACAGTCTTAATTAGCTGTCCTCAATTAATTATTTTTTTCTCCTTCTCTGGTATGCTATAATAGCTCAAAAATGCAGGATAGAAAATAGCAACCCTATTAGTTTCCTCCAAGTATTGAGGTGTTAAATTATGCTTTTATGTTCTCTCTGTTACTCTGCTCTTTTAAAAGGAGATTATGGTCACTTGAAGGAGGAATAAAATGTAAAATCACCATGAGAATGATGAGAGATGATGTAAAATCATCATGAAAGAATGAAAATCTGCATCCCTCAGGTTTGAAAAGACAGCAGGGCTCAACCCATAAGGCCTTCCAGCACGTGCTTTCCATTTAGAGTTGGATATGCATATTTGAGCAGTTGTGTGCATAATGCAGCTAGGAGTTGTTTCTAGAAAACGTTCAGATCGTGTGCCTTTGAGCCACTCAACTACTGGCAAAAGAGAGGTAGGGTTGGGATTGCCTCTGTTCTCACACAGCCCATGGGAGGCTGTGAGTTATAGACCAAAGCACATGCGTGCAGCTAGTAACAGAGGTGCAGCCATGTGAGCAGTGGGCTGTGGCCTCTTGGTGGATGGATGCCAAGGTACATGATGTCCATGAACAGTTATCAACATTTAGATGTGGTTCATCCAGAGTGGAACCATTTCCAGCTATGCCAGGGCTTGCTGTGAGGGTTGCCTTGCATCCAATCTGGTGTTCTGGGTTGCCATTTGTGCTGGTGACTGAGATTATCCTCCTGGTATATCTTTTGAGAGCCTTTAATGGAGGAAATCACAGCTCCAGTGGTGCAGAGGGTGAGGAGAGATCAGGAGGCCCCAAAGCATCACCCGAAGGACCCCGCGGCGCTTTGAAGTGAGTCTCAGCTTTCACTGGGAAACTGGAAACAGACTGCCTGGAGCACCATGGTGAAAGGACATCTTTTTTTCTCTTGGCAAGAGATGAGACAAGAAAACCAAATCAGTAATTAATAGAAACACTAGAAATCCAGTCTGTGAGCCACTTCTGTTCCTGGCATAGGACAGTGTTTGTAAGGTATTTTTCTTGTGTGTTTAAGATCACACATAGCTTTTGAAGTGCTTTAATGAAGTGCAAGGCAAAGGAAGAAATTTAGTCTATTTTCCTTGCACTCAAGGAAACTCTCAACTCTTAAATTTTCACTCTCATCCATTAGAAGGTCAGGGACCTGAGCTTCATAACATGCCAAGAGATGGAAATCAGTCTGCTGTTTCTTCAAAGTGCAGTGTGAGCTTGAAGTTTTGCAGATTTCTTTTTACATCTTCAAGAACTTCATACAAGAATCAGGGTTGCTTTTTTGTGGTAGGAGGTAGGGAGCATAATGTGTACTGCTGTTCTACAGTCATGGAATGGCTTGAGTTGGAGGGGACCTTACAGCCTCTCCAACTCCTCAGAAAGGGCTAAATTATCAACAAATAATGCAGAGAATTCTGCTTTTAGTGCTTCCTGAAGCCTCATAACCTCTGAGACCCATGGGCACATCTGGGGTGGCAGCACAGCCTTTACTGGGAGAGCCTGCTGCCCTTGCAGGTGAAAGCTTGGTGTCCTGTAACTTCATTCTTCTATTGCTAACACTATTGCAATTCTTCTGACAGGCCTGGTGTGAATGGTCTAAATTGATGTTGTTTCTTTCCTTCAGCTGAACTTTGACTTGGACCGTGGTGTGTTTCCAGTGGTCATCAGAGCAGTGGTGGATGAAGGGGATGGTAAGCATGGCATACACTTATTCAGTCTTCCCTCTGGCTGGATGTTAAGTGACCCTTCAGGGGAGGCCTCGTCCTACAAAAGCAAAAACATTTTACAGGCAGCAAAGGTGTCAGGAACCTTTCCAGAATCAAATTATTTCAGGAATTCACCATCACTTTCTTTCATTAGAAGAGTCCAGCTAATCACAGACTCTTGCATAAAGATATGCTTTTAAAGGTAAGCTTGATTTTTTGACAGGAAAATTGGCTGGGTAGTTAGTGTTGGAGTGGGGTTTGGGAGAGTTAGGGTTAGATGTTGGCTCTGCCACCAAAGCCAGGCCCAAATTGGAACAAATGATTCCCTCTCTCTTTCAGTTTTGTGTTTGCAGTCTTGTAACACAAGGATGGAGTTTGTCTCTTCTAGCTCTTTGAGGTTTGAATCATCTTTGTGAAAGCTAGAGCTGTCTGTAGGGCTGAGGAACTCTTAGAAGAAAAGAAATGGCTTTTAAATCCTCAGGCCACTGTTCAACCACATACAAATTAATTCAGCACTTTAAAATTATCTTCTTTTTCCCAAAGGAAGTTGAATGATATTAATAAAAGAGCATGACTTTTGATGGTAAATAATACTGCTGGTTACTTTTAAAGCACGCTGCCCTTTTAGAGGAGAGTGGGCAGTAAATGTTTAGATTGTTAATCACCTTGTGCTGTGTTTTCCTTAGGGTGTGTGTGCTTTTGGGCTCTGTGTGTTTGCACTCATTCTGAGAATTGGTGATGAAAGGGGCACAAGAAAGTCACATGTTCCCTACAACTGATGGCTGTTGTGCTCAGCAGGACCAGCATTCCCCTTCTGCTTCTGGCAACTTTTTGGACCAAACTGAAGAAAAAGCAGAAAGGAAAAAATCCTTTTTAGATTGTATTTTTTATTGCAGTTTGTGTGCTCTGCTTCCTATGTGAAAGTGCACAGAAGTTCATTGCATTGTTTTACAGTCCTCCAAGCAAACAGAACTGGATGGACCAATTTAAAGTGTGACTAACACAGCGTAGTGCAACATAAAAGAAATTGCTTTTAGAGTGCATCTGTTTTTACTGATTTCAGGTGCTGTTAGTATAATTGACATATATATCCTGATCACAGTTAAAAAAAACAACTTCCACTATTTGTTGAACTTTTGCCAATATATTTCTACTTTCTTATGTTAGACATATTGAGAAAGACCAAAAATAGAAGAGGAGGCAGCATGGGAAGCATACATTTATGCATATATAATAATATGTCAGCTCTTAGCCAACAGTGAACTGTCATCTATATTAATAGTCTGGAAACACGGTTTCTTTTAAATCCTCTCCTGGAAAGAATATCACCACAAAAATATGTGACACTTGAACAAGACTGGGAGAAATTGCTGTGTGTTCTGGTTCTTTTTTACTGATGAGATGGGCAGGAGCTAGACTTGTGTGTTTGGGGTACCTGGAAAATGACAGCTAGCTTGTAACTACTTGCAATGAATAAAATTGAATGGGAAATTAAAATAGCAGTCAGCAAGATGTCGGTTTGGACTGATTTCTGCCAAGGACATGTTTGTGTTCCTTGAAGAATGTAAGCTTGCAGTGTTAGCACTCTTCATTCCTGCTTGTGGAATTGCTCTCAGTAAAGGTGCAGAAATCCTTAAGGGGTGGAAGGTGCTGTGCTGCTCCAGCCGTATGTGCTGCTTGAATGAACAGGCTATGAAGGGAAGCCATCTCTGTTATCTCTTCCTCAGCTATTCAGACTGCAGTGAGGGACCTGCATTTCATTTACTCAAGACCTGGAACAGGCTAGTTCTTGTCTGGCAGAGAGGGAGCATGCGGGTGAAATCCCAGTTCAACCCCTCTGTTCTGGATACCACTGTGTTCCTGATTGCATCCTCATTTCTTGACCATCCTTGGCTATTTAGCAAATCTGCAGTCCGAGACTCCTGTTCCATAGACTGCTGTTTCCAAGCACGGTCTCTGTGCCACAGCCCAGTGAATGGTTCCTGTTTTGCCTTTGCTGTTCATGGGGGTCCCCAAAGAAGCTGTCAAGCTCCCGTTCTTTTTTAGACATCACAGGAGTCATTTTCTTCAGCTGTTAACATTCTGGCACAAAGCTCATAGAGCTGCCTGTCTGCTCTTCTGCATTTGCTGACCACAGCACTGGTATTTCAGGTGGGGCTGGGTGGTGGCATACCTTTCCTTCCTTCAGAGATTCCTCCAAGACCTCCCATTTCCACAGATTGATCATAGTTAGACAAAATGTAGACAATTGGAGCTGAACAGAACTGTGGAATCTTGAGCCAAAGAGGTCAGGATTGTGCCTTGGTTTCCTCTATTTAGCACATATGTTTCCCTGTGCCTTTTTTTTGCTGGTAGAGCCATGGATGCAGTACAGAAACCTCTGATGGCCCCTTGTGAATGCTGTTGGATTAAGATGGGGGCCTCTGATTTGGAAGAGGAAGATGGGATATTTGTCACTGGGAAAAAAAAAATCTGATAACTGGACAGAGATGTTTTGCTCTCTAGAAACATGAGAAATAAAGGTTTTACAAGCATGTAGGATTAGACTATAATAAAGTAGTAAGTACCGGGGCTGGAAGGGCTGCCAGCTGCTGTTAAACCTGATAGATTTATTTCTTTGTAGTAGATTCAAGTAACTACAGCCAAGAATATAGGGAGAGAGCAGAATTCCACTGAACTCTTCGTCTTAGTGTTTCTTATGCATCCTGTGTTTTAGCAACTTCCCTCTGAGTATCTTACAGGGGACAGTGTCAAAAGCCTCACCGAAGTCCTGGAGGACAGCATGCACTGCTCTTCTCTCATCCATCAGGCTGGTCATTTCATTATAGAAGCTTATCAGGTTGGTTGGGCCTGATGATTGGTGAATCCATGCTGACTGCTCCTGACAATTTCCTTCTCCTTCATGTGCCTGGAAATGATTTCCAGGATGAGCTGTTGCATCACGTTCCCAGGGACTGAGGTGAAGCTGACTGGTCTGTGGGTCCCCAGGTCTTCTTTCTTTTAAACTGGGAGGTGAAGGTGGTATCAGTTTAAAAAGTACAAATTCTAAAATCTGACTAAAATTCAGCTCGTGGTGATATCATGCTTGTGCTGCTTTCAATGTTTAACCAGGAGTGTTCTGTCTTTCTGCAGTGGTGGTTGAGGTGACAGGCCATGCCCATGTTCTTCTGGCTGCATTTGAAAAGGTAAATGACTTCTCTTTTCCGTCCTTATCACTGTATATGTAAATATTTCCACGGGTCATTAGTTTGTGTTTATATATCACTTAGCACACTGGGGTCCTGGCATGAAACTAGAGTTCAGGAGTGGTACTGCAGAACAAATAATAGCTTGCAGCGACTGTTGTGCAGTCTGTAATCACTATTTGTACCTGAGCTGGTCAGTCAGCTAATTGGAGCTGGTGTTTCCTGTGTGTGGGGAGAGGGTGTGCCGTGGAATCTGTGATGTTTGAGAGTGGTAGATGTTGACCAAGGCTGCTAGTGTGCAGCTTTCCAGGGCCTTGTGATCAGTTTACAGAACCGGATTTGCTGTGTCCAGAGCCTGCTGCACCTTTGTTTGGCCTTACTTTATGTTTAGCACCAAACCCTTTTAGGGCTCAGGGTACATCCTGCATAAAGTCTTCACTTTTCCTTGATAGTAGCTGACCTGAGCACTGCCAATGTGGGGAGGCTAAGCACAAGCTTTGATTACAATCTCTTCACGTGATGACGTATCTTGAAAACATTTACAAGATTCCTAACTACTTTATGTTGTGTCTGGACATTTTAAGATGTCATTTTAAGATAAGGCAAATGTTGCTGGAGTAGAGTTGAGCGTGTTGAAGAGAGCAGCATTAATGCTGTGCTGTTAGAACTTCCTGCTTCCAGGCTGGCATGTAGGCTGACTTCTTCTCAGTCCACGCCATCCCTATCATGTCCAGAAGTAAGCAAGAGTAAGTTGCCAAGACTTATCCTAGGTGGATAGTGTAGATGGTGACAAGCTGAGTCAGAGGGCCTGGGCAGCACAGTCAGTCCTCAGGAAGCCCTGTGGTTGGAAGATGCTCCCAGTGTTCAAGGTTTGTTTTGTTGCTTAGCTCGGTATGTGTTGGACTTACTCCAGACAATTAGAGATCTGTGAGAAATGAGATGGGTAGCTGCAGCACTCCTGGGACTGTTCTTCTAATTGCCTCGTTGAGATGAGCTGGAAAGATCAAAAAGTCTCTGGAATCCCTCAGTCATTGCTTGGCAGCACCTGGGGGAGGACAGTGTGGGCATTAGGTCCTTGGGAAGGGCTTTAGAGTTTGGAGTTCTGCTGCATCTTGATGGGACTGCACTGTAGAATCCCAGGGCCAGCACTTGATAACTGTGCCTTGTAGAAAAATCTTTCCCTGAGATACCTTCCTATGGAACAAGCTTAGTTTCCATAGCTGTGAGCTGTGATTTGTGTCACCTAAGCTGCGACTGATACCATAAGGTGCTACATCTCCCAGTGTGTGTTAAATATGCTGGACATTGTTAGAGCTCTTACAGTGTTTTCTGGGTCCCATACAGCTTCAAACCCTGAGAACACAGTCATGCAGCTGGCTTTGGGGGAGGAAGGGCAGTGCCAAGCCCCGCAGAGTGGTCTGGTGTGTATTGGGAATGTACTAATGTGAGGGCAAAAGTGAAGCGTTGGAAACTTCTGGCTCATGAGGAAAGTAGCTTAACCACTCTAGCTTTGGAAGCAGGCTTTCAAGAATTATAGATAATTTCCATGTGCTGTGCAGAGCTTCTGAGCTGTCTGGATACATAAAGGTGATGGCAGATGTCCCCTCAGTGCTCAGCAAGATGAACAACAGAACTGGGAGCCAACTAAAGCTGCTCAGGCCATTCCATCCAGGTTGTCTCATGCCTTGTGTCCAGCTCAAAGACTTAATCTGCTTCCCTTCTTTTCCCAGTCTGTGTGTGCTCTGAGTGGGAGGTGCCATTGAGGCCACTCCTTACTTCTGATCTTCCAGCTGAATGCTTAAAATAAAATAAATTTAAAAAAATTTTTAAAGGTCAGAGGGCAAAGTGCTTATAGAGTTCTTTCTCCTCCTATCCTTAGAATAATTGCAGCTTTTGAAGTGTAGATACATCAGTCTGGAGGAGGTTTTTGCTAATAATCACTGCTGCTAATCAGCAAAGTATGTTTGGAGGACAGGCAGGTCAGCAGCCTCAGCAGCTTGCTGTTTGTGTGCGTCTTTAAGAGCAGAACAGTAACCTTGACACTGCACAGCATCTGACCTTGTAGCTTTTCCAAAGTCAGAAACTTGGCATTTTGTGTTTGCCTGGAAAACAGTACTGTTTTGTCTTTTGGTGTAATGTTTTTGTGCCTTCCTTCTGAAATTCCTCCAGCAAACAGATGCATGTCTGCAGCTGCTCGCAGCAGTAGGCCTTGCAGGAGTTTTCCCCTCAGTCTCCTTCTGTGCTCTCAGTACTCTGGCAGAGGAGTTGGTTTGATTCACATCAGTTGGCACTTGTGGATGATGGAGAAAATAGAACTGGCACATTATTCCTGATGCTAATTCTGACACCAGGTACACACAGAATTGTTACAGTTGTGCCTGCTGCAGCTATACCAGTGAAATGCTAGGAGTGCTGAGGCAGGGCACGTGTTTCTGATAGCATCCAGTGGCCAAGCCTTGCTTTCAGCCTCATGCCACCCGCTGCTCTCCTGGGGCTTCAGCCTCGAGAATGGCTCTGACTCTGGATGCTACCTAGGGAGTTAACAAATACCTCCTGCCAATTATTGCTGCATTTGTTGAAGAAGTGTTTGCACCCAGCTGGGCTGGCTGCATCCTGAAAGCATGCAGTGTGCCAATGGATTTCTGTGTATGCTCTGGCCCACTTGAGCCAAGAAGCTAAGTAACTTGAGCAAGGTCCATCTGCCTCTGTGCTGCAGTGAACAAGGAGCACACTGATGTTCCACTCCACTGCTGGGAGTGGTTGCTGTTCATGTTATAATACACATGCCACTTTTCCCTTAGCTAAGAGATGACAACTGATAATTGATCTGTTTTAATTTTTGTACGTTTTGTCTGTTTAATGCATTTCTTTTTTATTTTTTTCCTCCTAGCATGTTGATGGCAGTTTCTCCGTGAAGCCATTAAAACAGAAGCAGATTGTAAGTACCTGTTTGTTGCTGATTAAAGTCATATTTGTGTGCCACAGACACTCAGTGGTACCTGGTGGGAAACTTTGATATTAGTTCACCAAGGGCCTGACATCTTGGCTACTTAGCTCAGATAGCACCAGCAAAGTTGGTTAGTGTTGGGCTGGATGTTGTGTGTGTTGGGGCAACAAATATGGCAGTGCAGTCATGCAAGCCTGTTTATTCTTCTCTGCAAGTCAGGCACTGTGTATAAATTCCTTGCAATATATATTGCTGCCTCACAGGTATTTGGTGCTTTTATAAAATTGGGACCACAGTACTGATGTTTGATCTCTCTGTAGGTGTGTGCAAATTAGGTTTGTGTAAATGAGCTTAAGGACTATGCATGTTAAGTAACGTGAAGCACATCTGTGTGTCCACACTGCCTGGTTGCTTTAGGTTCTGTGTTTTGTGCTGTGGAAGGATATCTTTGCCGACTCCTCATGTCCTGCTTAGAGGCTGATTACTGTTAGCTCATAGGTTTCCACATACGTGGATGTGAAAATGATAAGGGATCTTATGGTTATCTTCTCCCCGCATAAGCTTCCTTTTTGTGTCTATAGTATCTCTGGAAAAAATCCCATGGATTGAAACCTGTTGGCCCGACTTGCCTGTCCCCTGTGAGTATCCTGGGACTTGAGCAGGCACCGTCGTTCTTTGACTCTAGTTTATACAGACTGCACACGTGAGGAGGGCAAGGGAAGAAGGGAGAGTGGCAAACAGAATGTTAGGGATTTGTAGACCTCTTTTAGCCCAGCCCAGTGTGGTGCAATGCACAGAAACTGTGCAAAGCCTTATCAAGATTGAAATTGCACTTGGTCCTGCGTGGAGAGAAATACATAAGCTAATGCATACTTTGATTTTTTTTGCCAAGAGTTTAAGCTTCTGAAAGGAAATTGGGTAGCAGTCCTGCTGCAAGGATCAGATTTAAATGTCTTGGTGACAGGGAAGAAATAAAGTTGAACATACGAGTAAGCTGTTCAGATGGATCTGGGAGATGCTTTGTTTCCTGAAAAACTGTCCTAAATAGCCTAGCAGCTTTGGCATGCATCTTGCATTTGTATGAAGGATAACGCTCTTCAGGTTAGCTCAATCCAATCTGATATAGTTCTGATGCACAGTCTTAAGAGACACAAAATATGAGGCAGGAATTCAGCAGATTGGGTGGTACTGAGAGCAGTGATTCAGTCATGTTAGTTTGGAGTCTTCACAGAGCAGTGGCTTATGTAAAACTTGGCTGAAGTAAGGGGACTTTCAGTACCTGACTGGCTTCCTCCTACCATTCCTGCATCTGTTGTAGTCTTGTCATCCTTTTCATTGCTGGAGCTCTCATCAAGTCTGAGCATTACTCACTAGATCTGTCTGGATTCTTCCCACATCTTGAAATTACTTCCTTGTTGCTTGGAAACTCGACCCTTCCTGTCCTTGTTGCTGTAACCTCCATCCTCACTGCAGTACACACAGCATGCAGTGTTCTCATTTCCTTGTTGTTCTTGAACATACAATATTTGTGTGATAATCATGGATAAGTTTAGCTTTGTGCTTCTTGCTGCAGAAATACGTTTTTGCATCGTCGTTTTTTCCTCCACATTTCACACTAATGCTCCTCATATTCTCTTAGCCATGCTTGGCTCTTTTCTGCAGCTTTACCTCCTCTATGACTGATTCAGTTCCTGGCTTGTTGGTGCTCCCTGCTCCTCATCAGGCACTTCTGCAGCACGTTGTTGGGACTGTCCTGTTTTCAAGAACAGTATGGGTGAACTAACAGACATACTCTTCGCTTTTATTTTTGAAAATAATTCTGCACTGTGACTTTTGGTTGCCTTTTTTTTGTTGTTGTTTCAGAGCATTATCTTGTCTGATGACTGTATTAGGATGAGCAGTCCCTTTCCTGATGTTGATAGAAACTAGCTGCCTCAAAGCAACAGTTGTAAATGGCTTTGTGTCTGCAGAACCTATCTTGCAGATTTCTTTCAGATAAGATTTCTAAGCTGTCTGTGCTGAGACTGGGTTTGACACAGACTGGGGAGAAGGTGCAGACTTCTTGCCCTTGAGAGTTTAAAATAGTTTGGAATAAACTGTGCCCAGCAGAAAACCACATGGTTCACTCCCTGAACTGGCCAGAACTGCACCAGTCAGGGTTCTGCACCTCAGTGCTGTGCTGCAGCTGCAGTGTGAGCTCCCCCACATGTCTGGTGCAGAGTGCAAGCCCTGGAGGTACGTGGGGTAAAAAGGCAGATGGGAGGGAAGTGTGAGCTGTTTCAGAGTATGAGCTGTGGTTTTCAGTCGGCAAAGTTCCGTGTTCAGTAACTCACTATCTGCCTCACCAGTGCTGTGCATGCACTCGAGGTCTGTCCTTCAGGCTTGCTCCTGCCCAGCAGAAGCAGCCTTAGCCCTCCCTGTCAGGGCTTCATTGCAGTTGATGAGTTCATTGCAGGAGATGAGTTACCAGCCTGATGCCTGCACTGAGCCCTGCACTCATCCTTCCTCTGAGCTTGGTTCTATTGCAGCGTGGTTCCTGGCTGAGTCCCAGGTCTGCTTCCCACAGGTGTTGTTAGGAACCAGCCAGGGATGGTTCCAGAAATCAGTCCACAGAGCGAAGGGCAGGCATGTGGTGGGAACATCCAGAAGAGTGCATTCTGCAGGGAGAGCTGTGTGCTGTGCTGGAAAAGGCTGCTGAGCTCTGAGGGAGCAGAGCAGTGTGATGTCAGTTGCACCTTGTTCTCACATTTTCTTCTGCTCTGAGAGGAGCACTACACTGGTGAGCTGACAGAAAGCAGCTTGTTTATCTTGCCTTTTTATTTAATGATGGTGCATACATGGCTATGAGCTCTCTGAATTGATGTTGGATTGCTGTGCACACTAATGCACTGTGTGCTTCGTTCTCCATTTAGTGCTCTGGGTTTTCCAAATGGAGGACTGTGTTGCTAGAAGTGCTCTCTAAGGAAGTTCCTTCCCTACCATGACATGGTAGGCTGACTTCTGCAGTGAAACAGCGTGTGCTTGTCTGTCTGTGCTGGCACAGCATGTGTCCTTCCCACTCAGTGTTTGGTTGTCAGTGCTTTTTTCTCTTGGCAGTTTGTAAAATTTAATGCTTATATGTTCTCTCCCATCGGTTTTAAAATAGAAGTAAACTCTTGCTAGAAGAACACACAGTTCCACTGAAACTAATGTAGCATCTGCATCTATAAGAGCATAGAGCAGAAGTATGGAGTATGTTGGGAATAATCCATATGTATAATGCTATAAATGCTTCCCCATTGCAGCCTTTCTTTTGTCTGCCCCTCCTTGCCAGTGCCAGGATTCCTGGGTGCCTCGTGTGTGCATGGATCTCTTAAGCTCTTTGGGAGCAGGAAGCAGCAGCTAATGAGCTGGACTGTTTTGTTCTCTCAGCCAAAATCAGTTATAGTGTATGTACCAGCCTGTTCTTAAATAAAAAGAAAAGAACATGGTTGAATGGGAACAGATGGGATAGAGAAGAATCATGACCTGCAGTTGGCCAGTGGCTCTTGTGTGCATCAGTTGGATCTGAATTTAGCAACAGAAGTCTCGGGAAGAATGACATGCTGCAGGAGAGATGAGAAGGTGAGGGACTGCACTGTGTAGTATCACCTACTTTTTATTTACCCCTACTGTTTTAAAACCTAGAGATCTTGTAGTAAGAGCCATGTTGTGCTGCTCGCTCTTTTCTTAGTAGGGCCACATGAGCTTCTTGTGGGATTTCTTTTGAAGCAAGCAGTAAAATGAACACAGGATCCTGCAGAGACTTGGGTCTCTCCCTTCCTGATGTATTTTGCTCTTTGAGCTGGCCATTGTGCACTCACTATCACTCAGCATGATCCTCGGAGGAGTCAGGATGCTGTAAAAAGACTCTCTTTGACATGTTGAATTATAAAAGGACAGCTCCCACATAATTGTTCACAAACTTCCTGGGAGGATTGTGAGACACTGCAGAGGATTTTGCTTGACAGTCCAACTGCTGACCTCATTGCCTTGAAATGCAGGCCTAGAACAGCTGCATACTGAGTTAAATAGGCAGACTCTGGAATTGGTTTGTTGAAGTTGCTGCATCCCAGCTCAGAGTGTTTCTAAACTAGTAGGCAGGCTGGATGTAACTAGCTTGTGCTCCCATCGTGGCATGGAGTGTGTTCTACAGCACTGAAATCCTACAGCACAGCCATTGCTCTTCTGAGCACCTGGCTTGACAGAGGAGGAGGAGCAAGGCATGGAAATGCCAAGAGCCCCAGAAAAATGCTGAGCCATTGTAACATTGCATTCCCAGTGGCTTGGCTTCACTGCATGGTGTCAACTGGACAGTTTCTGGAGCTAACAGGAAAGTGTTTCGTTCCATTCCTCACCATATGTGTCAGTTTGTTACCTTGCAGCTGCTTCCCTGTTGCTTCGTGAAGAGGAGCACATGTGCAGAGCTACCCCAGAGCAGCATCTCTGTAATGTTCCATACAGCTGTGAGAGTATTGTGCTATACTTGCTGGCTGAGCTATGGAGCCATGGAGAACACCACACAGGAGTTGCTTCTTTGGGACCTGAGCCATCAGCCTTTCTTGTGCTGCTTTAATTCAACTGCTCAGGGTAGTTTGGGGGCAGCTGCTAGCATCTGCTTGAAGATATGGTTCAGAGGAGTTCATTCTGTGCTGGGGGTTGTGTACCTGGCACTGCTTTGTGCTACCACACACCTCAATTTAAAGATACTTCCAAGGGCCTGGAGATGGTCATAAATGGCACTGCAGTAAGGGAGATAGTTTGTCTGTCTTCAGTAGCTTGCCCTTAGGCTCCCAGGCATCAAGAGAAGCCTAGTGCAGCCATGGATGTGCAAGTAATGAGCCTTTGGTACAGCACCACAATGAGGACCACCCCTAGCCTCTCCTTGCCTGAGATTATGAAGATGGATGGAAATCCATCTTAGCTAAGGTAAGCAGTGCTTCACAGAGGGAAGGGACTGTGGAAGGCTGGTTTTCTCTGGCTTATGTGCATTTTGGGCATATGTTACTTTGTGATTTCTGTGATAAACAGAGTGTTTTTGAGATGATCTTGGTAGTGACTGAAGCAGCCAGTTGGGCTCTCAACTCACCAGGTAGGGGTAGGTACCACTGTGGAGCAAGGACATGTTCATTCTCCTGCTATCTTTTGTGATGTTTGTTTCTATTAATGTTTTCCAGTAACTCTAGGAGAGCCTGTTACTATGGGTGTTGCATGGACATCTTGACACAGGGAAGGAGGGAAGATAATCTCAAAACAGCAATTGCAGAGCAGCTGATAGTACTCCAACTATTATCTTTCTCCCTAGGTTGACCGGGTGAGCTACCTGCTTCAGGAGATCTATGGCATTGAGAACAAAAACAACCAAGAGACCAAGGTAAGGGTGCTCAGAAGGCTCCTGCTCCTGGGCTGTGGGTTTCCAGCTTGCACCTTCCACTTCCAAGTTTACATATGAGTTTTGGCATTGTAATGTAAAGATGCTTTCCAAGATGGCCATCAAGTCTGTGGCATTACTACAGGCACTGAAGAAGCCCAGGAATGATAGGCCTTCACAGTAAGGCTCAAACAGTGTGATTGTGCTGAGATAATTTCAGATAGCATGTGGCTCATAAGGATATTTCCTGGAGCACGGAATGCAGGGAGGGGAGGGCATCAGTGCCCCTCAGTGTTTCAGAGCCAGAGAGACAGTGTGAACTGCTCAGTGTTTCAGAGCCAGGGAGACAGAGTGAACTGCTGCTTTTGGTGCCCTGAGGTTACTGGCCAATCTGGGTGCTTCCCAGTGTGTGCAGACAAGAGGCTCTTTTTTTCTCGTTGACTGTTATTGATCATTGCCCCTCCACAGTCCAGGTATTTGTGTTTGGTGTCCATACTTTTGTGCTGTGGCTCTTCAAACGTCTCCTGTTTTGTTTTGGGGGACTGCATGTTCCTGTAGCATTGCATGGAACTGAGCTACCTAGAACTTGCAAGATCAAACTGCATTTCTGTACAGGAGGGAGCACAGCATTGGTAACATCGGGCGACATATATGCAAGTGCCTTAGCCAAAAGCATTGCCTATCTTCAGGCAGGAGCTTCTCCCAAATCCTGGTTTGCTGCACAGCCCCAAGCATGTTGTGTGACTGCTTTGTGCTTGCAGTAGCCTTACATAGAGCTGCCCTTTGCTGCCATCTGGGCTGCAGAGCATATGAAGTGCTGGTCTCAGACTGCTATTTTGAGTATTAGCGTGTGATCTGCAAACAATGGAGCAGTCATGGTGCAAGACAAGCTGAACTTCCTCTCCAAGTAATGCAGTGTCCTGTCTGAAGCATACTGTAATCTCTGCCTGCCTGTTTCCAACAGGTAGCACCTGAAAAGGCAGGAGAAAGAAGATTTATTTTCCATTTTCCATTTTTGTGCCAAATTTTTGCCTCTCATTTCAGCCTTCAGATGATGAGAACAGCGACAACAGCAATGAGTGTGTGGTTTGCCTGTCAGATCTCCGGGACACTCTTATTCTGCCCTGCAGACACCTCTGTCTGTGTAATTCCTGTGCTGACACCCTGCGCTACCAGGCCAACAACTGCCCCATCTGCAGGCTGCGTGAGTTTCCTGCCCAGGAAACAAGGGCATCTTTCTCTCTTCCTGCGCTTCTGTTAAGTCAATAGAGGCTATGAGGATGTGTATGTATTGTATTTAACCCACCCCAGGACTCAATACCAAATGTGCAACTCTTCTGGGTGATGTCTGGAGGTTCCTGACACCTAAAATAACTATCCTTGAACAGGGAAGGAATACAGTGGGAGAAAGGCCGTTTGACTGGGGCCAACTTAAGGCCCTCTCTTCTAAGTGAGGTGTATGGCAGCATTGGCTCTGATGCAGCTGAAATTGCAGTATTGGCTTAGTGCCCTCCTAGTGTTGTTAACACGACTCCCTCAACATTTCTTTTAAAGCAGACTGAAGCCCCGGGTCACTCTGTGTGATGCTTTCCTGGCCCTGCACCCTTCTCTAGACCTCACCTCTTACCCTGCATACTCCTGCCTTTTCTGTTTGCGTGTGGATCACTCCAATGATTCTACCTTCTTGCCACTCTAGGGCTAGCAAGGTGGGCACTGAGTGCACAGGTTTTCTTCCCCCTCAAGGCTCCCAGAGTGTTGAGAGGATGTGCTTAAACCTGCACTGCTCAGTTCCTGAAGTTGGAATAAATGAAATATCCATTCTGACATTCAGACAGTACTTGCTAAATTCCTTGTCTTTTTGCAAAAGCCCAGAGATATAGGAGTTTTAAGAAAATGCCTGCATCTTGGATGGAGTAGCAGATCCCTGTGTTATACCCTGTGTTTTATCTTAGAGATATTTGATTGTTCCTTCTTAAGAAAAGGATAAGAGCCTAAGACAGATGTTTGGCCTGAGATATTAAGTCTGAAAAGTTCAAACTTGGCAAAGATACAATAACTGAAAGCAAGATCTTATCAGAGGAAGTGCTAGACAGCCTTGACTGTAGGTAGCACAACTTAAGATATGGAACAGCATTATCTCATCTGCATTTTGCAGTGGAATAGGTTGCTTATGTTTGGAATGTGTCCACAAGCTGGACTTCCTGGGAATCTGTATCTGAGGAGTGCAGAGGCAGTGGGGATAGATTTGCACCTCTGGCTTTAGTCTGATCTTGAAAGTGTATGGGTGCAGTAAGAAGTAGGGAAATGCCTGGGCTTTTCCTGGTGTACAAGCAAGTTCTTCCAGCTGCATCAGAACAGATGTCTAGCTCATTCATGTGCACCTTTGGCACTGAGAAACTGACAGCTATAAGATCTGCAGATATAAAATGGGACCGTGGGCATGAAGAGCAGATTAAGGCTGTTGTGGGAAGGCCAAGGGCTCACTGTGCTGTGGCTGTCTGTTCACCTGTGTGCTCTTTTCTCCTAGCTTTCCGTGCCCTGCTGCAGATTCGAGCTGTGAGGAAAAAGCCAGGGGCTCTCTCACCAGTGTCATTCAGCCCTGTCCTGGCACAGAGCGTTGACCATGATGAGCATTCTGTAAGTAACTCACTGTAACCCTTTACACAAAATCTGGATGCTGGTCTCACCCTGGGCAGGCAGCTTGTGTGTGCACAAGTTGCTTGGCCTGTTGGCCTGTGTCCCTCAGACCTCAGGAGGTATGCTCAGGCCTTGGAGTAAAGCCTTCCTGCATTATGCAATGCCTTTCCCCAACTCTTCTATAGAGCTAGGACTTCTGCTTTCGTATGTTAGTAGAAGTAAAGGTACAGAAATGTCCCAGTATTTGCCACAACAGGCTGGGCAAATAGGGTTACCGTTCAATTCTTATGGATGTCTGTGTGGCAGCATGTTGTGATGAAACCCCTTGGCTCTGGGATACTCAGGCCTCTTTGTGCCAGCTTCCCTGAGTGAGTAGGGTCTGGGAGGCAGCTGAGTGAGCGCAGGATGAAAAATGCAGTGCTGTTGGCCTCCAGACCAAATCACATGCCTCTGGTGTGCTGAGGACAGAAGCTCATTGCCTGAGTGGTGCTATTGCACAGCTGGCTCTGGCGAGACATGAGATCAGAGTGAGGAGTTCTGCCTCTAGATGAGGTAGTAGGCTAGTAGGCCTTAATAAGAACAGGAACAGCTTGTTACAGGAACAGCCTGGTCTTATCCATGTATACTCTTCAGCACTGTAGCCCTGCTGCCTACAATTGAGGCTAAGAAATAGGGCAGGGGAAGAAACAGAAGGGCAGAGCATAGTGTAGGGGAGAGCAGGCGCTGTCACTTGGAGCAAGGTGAGGAGTTGCTGGGTGTCTCTGTGTTGCTAACCTCCAGAAAAAAAAAACTACTTTAAAACATGGTTTTCTCTTGACAGTGTCCCTTTAAACCCCCTAAAGTGAACACTGTCACTCTGCCCAGCAGGAAACCTAAAAGGAAAACAGTAAGTGGACTTAGTTGTATTTGTATCCCATGGCAATTATTTGCCAGCGGCTTCATTAGCACGTGAAGGTGTTACAAACATGAGGGCTTGCTAAAATGCTGGATTTGACTTGTGCTCCTGCACAGCCTGTAACACATGAGCACTGTCTCCATGTTAGTGGTGAGATGCTCACAGCCTGCACAAATGATCACTAACCTTTCTGGCTTGCGTGCGGAGGAATAAACTGTAGGGACCCGGTGGGTGACTGCCTCTGGGTCCTGAGCCTGGCTGCAGAAGACATTTCCATAGCTTTGTAGGAACATAAGCAAACTGCTGTCCCCTTGGCTCACCCAAAAGCTCCCTCTCACTTGTCTCATCCAGTTTGGTGTGTGCACTTCTCACTGTGGTTCCCTCACTGGTTCTGAAACACAGAGGTAGGCAAATAGGCACAGCTGGACTTGCATTAGGACTCCTGGCTGCAATGAGCTGCTTTGCTTTTCAGAAACAGGAAGAATAGAGCTTGTTCTGTTGAGGAGTGTCCAAGATGGTGTGAGAGTGTGTAACTGGAATGTCATGCTGAGGATGGCATGAAAGGCAATTGTGGGGGACCAGAAACTGGGAAGGGGAAAGGTGAGGGAGGCCCCCCTACCCCAGGAAGGGTCTCTCACTGTGTAATCCTATGCAACTATAGTTGTCAACAATATTAAGGAGGCTGCAGTTTTCCTCATGCTGGTCTAGATGCTCAGGCTGAGGAGGAATGTGGCTTATCATATCTGGAGAAAACCTAAGGCTGGGTTCTGTAATGGGGCTGTCACAAGTTTGATGTGACCCTGACTCTGCACAAGCCTCAGAAAGCAACTTGTGCTTCTGTTGGAGCTCTGGTACTGGTGTAGTGGAAAGTGGCCCAGGGGAGGGCAGTGTCTCTCCAGACTGAAAGCTCAGAAGCTCAGGATGTTGTAGGCAGTAGCTGAGATTCTTCTCCAGCCTCTGAGCAGTGCTGTACAATCTGAGCGTTCACAGAATCACAGAATGGCCAGGGTTGGAAGGGACCTCAAGGATCATGAATCTCCAACCCTCCACCACATGCAGAGCCACCAACCTCCTCATTTAATGCTAGACCAGGCTGCCCAGGGCCCCATCCAACCTGGCC